TATATGTATATACATGTACATATACAGAAGAGTTGTAGGGCTTTTCCGCTCTGAGAGAGCAAAGAAGAAGAGCTCTGTGTGGCCCGGTGCGAAGTGAGGAGGCCAAGAACCAAGCAGGTCACAGAGGGCGAAGCCAGAAACCGAGTGTTTTTTTGTGACTTTCAATGCTTGGATTCCAAATCTGGCGTGAACCCTCTGAACCCTTTAAAGCCTCTGAAGCCTCTGAAGCCTCCAAACCCCTCTCAGCGCTCATCTCTGGTCTCAGAGGCCCCGAGCCCAATTTCTTCACAAGCGGTGCCGTCGGCGCTGGGCTGCACCTCAAGCTTGCGAATACAGCCTACGAAAACAATTGGAGGGAAAATATCTTCCCCGCTGTTTAGAAGCAGCTGCCTCCTTCTTTCACCAAGATATGCTTCCATCACATTAAGCACAGTCATCACGACGGAAATCGTTGTCAAGGTCTCCCCGTCTCAGCTGGGCACTGCCACGCTTCGGAAGCGCTTGCCTGAAGCACACCATCTGCAAACCCCAAACCCCAAACCCTAAACCCCTAAACCCTAAACCCCTAAACCCTAAACCCATCCTAAGCCCTAAACCCTAAACCCTGAACCCTAAAAACTTAAGAAGGCCGGGCGTACGCATCCCACTGCCGCAGGACTTGGAGCAGCCGCCCCAGGGGTCTCAGAAGAGCGCTCTCTCAGTCTCGATGCTTTCTACATAGGGTTTAGGGTTTAGGGTTCAGGGTTTGGGGTTTAGGGTTTAGGGTTTGGGGTTTTGGGGTTTAGGGTTTAGGGTTTAGGGTTTAGGGTTTAGGGTTTAGGGTTTAGGGTTTAGGTGTCATATACTGTGTGTTCAGACCTTTACACTGGATTCTCATATCCTAAGTCTTGCGCCTTTTATGTCTTATATCCTGTATCTTGTATGTTATATCATGTATCCGCAATACCCTTCATCTTACGTACTACATGATACATAATGCTAGATTCTTAGATGTCTCATATGTCTTACTAGATCTCTTCTTGCTTTCCGTGCTCTCTGCGCTTTCCAAGGCACCCCAGTCTGCGTAGGCACAGTCGATTGGGCAGTCGCCACTATTGCACTCGGACGTCCTTAGAAGTACAGAGGCATAACAAACTTAGTGTTTAGGGCTTGTATTTAGGGCTTATAGGGTTAGGGCTTCTAGGATTTAAGGCTTGTAGTCGGACTTCTAAGATTTAGGGCTTTTAGGTCTTAGGGACGTTCCTTGACACTCGGCGGTGCTCTGCGATGTTCTGCGGCCAGGAGACTGCGTTGTGTTTCCCTCACACTGGACGCCGCCGAACTCCGCCACCTACGGGAAAGAAGACACGATGTGTGCGTTTCCAAAAACAAGAGGGGTACCCTGTTGGGGATCCCTTCTAAAGGGATTCCATTGTATTTAGTTTAGAAAAAAGGTACCGGGGCAGTTCTTCCTTCACAACGTGTGGCCCGTGGTCCAGGTAGTCCAAAACACATTGGCGTTTACATCCTAGTTCTTCGTCTGACAACAGGGAATTACAAGGTGCGTGTACCTTACATCCCACATAGCCATCAAGGGATCTGATGGGGCACCTTCCCTCATGCCCTGCTAAGAGCCGCTACGTCCATCAAGCCGAACCATCACAAGACGTGCGCTCGCTGCACTCATGCCCAAAGGCGGAGTCTCTCAAAAAAAGGAGCCGCTTCAACCCCAAACCATGCGATGTTCCCCCTTATACTAACAGTCCTTAATGGGGATTATACTAGGGGGTACCAGAATCCCTATTTAGGACTGTTAGTACCCACTTCTTCGCGCCTGTTGAAACGAGCGCTTCCGGGTCTTCGTGCCCGGACCGCACGTCGAGCTGCACGCCGAGCTCTTCCTGAACAAAAGCTGCGCGCAAGTCTGCGGGGGAGCACCAGGACGGGCCATTATATCCTATACCCTCTTCAACAGGCCCTCTATGGGGTAAGGCCTACTATGCTATGATACCCTAGAACCCCTTAAAAAGGCCCTTTATAGGGTTGATTTTGGGGCTTTTCGGGCCGAATAGCCCATCCTGGGACTGGGAAAAAGATGCTGCAGCATCCAGTTGCGGCATGCCAGACTGGTATGCTGGACAGCAGATAACTTGGAAGTTTTAGGGTTTAGGGTTCAGGGTTTAGGATTTGGGGTTTGTGCCGCTTCGAACAATCGGGAGAATCTTGGGCCCCGCGCGACCAATCCCCCCAGATGCAATCGACTGGGCAGTCGTTCTTGGTGCACTCCTTAACCATTGAGAGCACTTAAGATCCGAAAACCCAAACAGCACAAGAGCAACAACGAAACCCGCAGCAGACTTTCAACCCTGAACCCTTAAAACACAAGACGCACCCTACAGCCGAGCCGAAGCGTTAAAAGGCTCTTTTGGCCCCGGCTCTCCCTTTTGTTCACGGTTGACAAGGTTTATAGGGTTTATAAGGATTTATGGGGTTTCATTATACAGGGTTTATAGGGTTTAAAAGGCCTATGGGGTCTACAGGGTTTACACCTTTCAACAAGAACCCGAAACCCGAAACCCGAAACCCTATCAACCCTGTATACACTGAACCCTACGAACCCGAAAAACCCTCTTTTCTGAATGCCAAGGCGCTCTGATCTCCTTGGCGTCACCCTCGCAGGTCTTGCCCACTTTCACCTTTCGCGTCCTCGCGATTTTCTGTTCTTTTTGGAGGGGTCTGTCTGGGGGGGTTCTTAAAGGGCTTTTAGGGTTTCGGGTTCAGGGTGTAGGGTTGTTTGGCGTGGTAGGAAGATCTGAAAAAAGTGTGGGGGTTGGGAAAAAGAGTGCTTCTTTCCAGCAAATATCTCTCGCAGCTACCCCCCCCCCCGACCGGGCCTGACGGACTCACCTCCTCCACAAGTAAACTGACAGACGCTCCAGTCCACCCAGTCGCCCCACTCCTCAGCTTTCAAAGCAGGAGCCAAAGCGGCGAGCCACATCTCAAACCAAAGCTGAGCCAGAAGCGCAGTCCGCATCCTCCGTCCGTCTGCCCTGCGTCGCATTGAAAGCTCCAGCTGGCTCCAAAGTCACCCCCGGTCACAGCTGAAACTTACCACCGAGGTGCAGAAGACGTCAGCTCCACCGACTCCACCTGTCCTGTGCAGCTGGGAAAAGGAGACACACACACACACACACAGACACGGAGATTCAGAAGGGTACCCGGAGAGAGTAAACGTGCATCCGTTCCTGCCATGTCGATGGCAGCGCCGACATGGCGGTGTGCCTGTTGAGTACCAGAGTGCAGCTTGCCGAAGCACAAAAAAACATGAGACGCACGGAAAAAAAAATGGTGCTCTCTTGGGATGTGCCCCCTTGTACTAGCAGTCCTTAATGGGGATTCGAATAGGGGGTACTATGATCCCCCATAAGGAGCTGTTAGCATTAGAGGGAACATCCCAGGTGCTCTCACAAGAGGCTCTCCCAAAAAACCCGCTGCCACCTCGCGCTCGGCGCGCATCAATCTAGGGGAGTCGAGCTCAAGCTCCTCTCACAAGCGGAGTGCAGCGTGCCCAAGAGCTGAAAGCCGCAAGGCCCCCATGAGACGATGGAAGAGGTGCTTTCAAGCTGCTCAACGAACTTGGCTTGGAATCTTTCAGGGCGATCGTCCAGCAATAGAGAGCAGAGCTTCTTCAACAGCGCCCCCCCCACCCCCCCCTAGACATTGCATATGCGCGAGAGCCGGCCTCGGGTTCTTTGGCATGTGCCGGGAGGAAGGCGAGGGCTTGAAGCTGGAGGAGGAGCGGAAGCCCAAGCATTCCAAGCCTTCCTCCCCTCCCTCTCCTCCCTCTCCCTCCTCTCCTTTCTCTGCTTTCGCCTTCTCTTGCACCTGAGAGAAAAAAGCAAACAACACGCGAATGTGAACAAAGAAACACCACTGCCAAGACTCCAAGGCAGAGAGAGAGAGAGGGTCCCGGGCCTGCGAGGGACATCCGTGTATGCCTTAATAGACAGATTCACTTCGGAAGGTTGGCCCAAGTCACCTACACTGCACCGCGACTACGCATCGAATGCGGGGACGCTTCTTGGGAGCCAGCAGTACTCACATCCAGCGTGTGAACGCCTCGGCTGAAGAGGGTTTAGGGTTTAGGGTTTCGGGTTTAGGGTTTAGGGTTTAGGGTTTAGGGTTTAGGGTTTAGGGTTTAAGTGCGACCGGAAGGGTTTGCAAAGATGTGCCTTCTACAACATACAGCAGGCCCTCTCCAAGGAAACTGTATCATTCAAAGCTATTTGTCATTAGCTTGCGCTTGCGACAGACGGGTTCTTGCTCCAGGGGGCCGCGCAGGTGTTGCTGTCGGGTGGATGTGGAGCTTTAGCTTCTTATCCTGATAACCTCAGGACCTTGAGAAGTACATGTGAGCACCTGGTGCACACAAATATGCGCGTGCGCGCAGGTGCGCACGTCTGCCTACACGGTCTGAAAAACATCTAAATCAGTGACAGAAGTTGTTGGCTTGGGCGTTCTCAACACGAGCACCAGGCTCAACGTGGGCACCTCGACTAGGAGTACAAGCACGATGTGGCGGGGGACTAAGGCTGTTTTAACCTTCCCCTGACGGCATTTCGTGTTGTTGAGCTTTGCCCGTGGGCCAAGCGATGCTCAGTGCAAGCTCGGCTTGGTTGCTAAGAACATTTCCAGAAGTCTAGCGTGCCAAATAGCGCAGGCTGTAGTCATAGGTTGTTGTTCCAGTCAAGAGCCACACTCCAGCCAAGCTCCGTTAGCTGCAGCCAAGCATCTAGATGGAGGAATGGATGGAAATGATGTGCAGACAGCCACCGACTGGAAAAGAATGCACTTTTCAGCGCTTCCACTTGAGCCGAAATGCCAGGAACAACCGGCCGAATCTATGATATCCTGAAGCGGCATGTCATGCAGAAACAAGTGCGCAGAGGCCTGTTTCGATTGTGCCCGCGCGGATCTAGTGACCCAGAGGTCTTCTGGGCCGACAACCCCTCCCCCCAAGGCTAGCACGCATCGGAACATTCGCAGAGCGGATCGAACCGCAGGCTGCCCGGTGTCCCACTGCGATACTCCTCAGGACACATGAAGCTCAGATTCCCGATGCTAACAAGCTGCAGCTCAACTTGCCCCGACGGCTCAAGAGCGCAGGTCCCCTGAGGAAACTGCTTCTCGTACAGGCCGTGGCCGGCGGGACAGAGGCGCGTGTACTTGCGGGATACACACTGGTTCGTGTACTCCTGGTGGTGCGTAGACCAGTGGCGTGTGCAGTAGTGGGTTGTGGCGGGTCCCGTGGGGGTGTGCCGAGTGCTTCCACACTGATACCTTGCACTGTGATGTTGCGTCCTCACCCAGGGCACTGGCTTCTCTTCTTCACAGGTCAAATTCCACTGGTTGATTCGCCCCCATGTGAAGACCATGCTGCTCTCATCCGCCTGGGTGGTGGGGTCATCCATGATGTTGGGATCTGTAGAGGTCACGAACTCGGGCACGGACTCAGTCCCATCAGGGCCCTCTGCGAAACTCACGGAACCCTGCTGGTGGTTATGCTTCGGGACCACGACCATCTCCCCTTCCACCCAAACCTGGTGGCACAGCTCCAAGTGCTGCAAGTGCTGTGCAAAAAACTGGGTTTAGGGTTTAAGGTTTAGGGTTTAAGGTTTAGGGTTTAGGGTTTAGGGTTTAGGGTTTTTAGCCAAAAAGAACTGTTGTTCACAACACTTCTCCAAGACAGACCAGGACACGGGCAGAACCTCACTGGGCGCTCCATCGACCGGTAGGCAACGGCGAGCGGCTGTGATGCTTGCCTGATCTGGGCAACTTACATTGATTCGAGGTCAGTCCTGAAACAAGGCCATTATTATTATTACTATTATTACTATTATTCTTATTATTACTATTATTATTACTACTATTATTTTGCTACGAACTTTGAAAGTAAGCAATCCATCTGAGGTGAGGTCTGGTGAGGTAGACAGAATCTGCCCAGCCTGATGGCAGCAGCACTGGGCCGACTGCTTCTGACGAAGAAGGCAGGTGCAGAGCATACAAACCCACTCTTGTAGCGCCCCGTGTCCTGCACATTCTGTAGGAAAGCACGCACGGTCTCGGCTCCTACTGCCCTCCCTGTGAAGTCGGTGGCTCCAGTGACTTCCTCAAGCTCGAACTTCGGCGTGCTTCTGTAGAAGCTCCGCGCAATCCCAGACCAAGGAAAAGTATTGTCCTTGTAGGCCTCTAAGTAGAGGAAGGCTCTGGTTTGTTGAACGCGAACACCGATCAAGCCACCGTCATCTTTGAGATGGCAGCACTCATCGCCTGCTGCGGGACGCAGTTCTGACGCACACAAGTCCGCTGTCTCCTGACGCTTGTAGTTCCATCCCACAGTCTTCATGCTGAATGTAAAGGCCAGCTTGCAGCAAAGATCCTTCAAGGGACTTAAGGACGGACCCTTACAAGGGACCTTAGGGGATTTAGGGGCTACTTAGGTACATAGGGACTATAATAAGGTATATATGGGGCTACATCGGGAATAAGATTAATCTTATCCCCCTTATGTCCTGATCGCCATGATACCAACGGAAGCGGCTCGGATCTTCTGGGCGGCCTTCCTTGTCAGGCTTGACCCACGGGCAGTCGCTGACGAGCTTCACCTGGGAAGGAGCGTCGGCTGCTGGATTGCTTAAAACCCCAAAGAAGTTTCAACAGGCTTTGTGATACCTTTTTGTTCTCTCTGGTTTGCTTAAGGAAATCCAAGGGGATAACCTTAATTACTACATAACTCCTGAAGCTCTTGCAGTACCCGGCCCCTCCTAAATCACACTGAGCGCCCAGGCCTTCTTGCAGAAGCAAGCAAGGCCGTCCATCATCTGTGCTTGGTCTATCTCCTCTGCATCAACATAACGAATTGCAGGGGCATGGTAGTAGTCGTCACCACGGCCAGGGTGGCTGTACCAATCTCTGTACAGCGGAGAGGGACTTGAGACGTCCTCCACGTCCATTGCGTGTTGCAAGTCTGACTCCGTGCGTCGTGCCATGATGAGGTGCGCCTGGAACACGACGACCCCAAACAAGAACCGAGCAGTTGCTGGAACCATTGCTCTCTGACTGGCTTTTGCAAACCTAGAAACAACCTGTGGCCGCTAGAGCCACGAGAATTGCAGCTGCCGACTCAGCATCACTTCAAGATCAAGATCAAGGCCGTGTCGAGCAAGGACAAGCCTCCACGTCAGGTTTGATTAGGTCATGACTTGACGAGCATAAACCTTTCACAATAACTCGCTACACTCAAAGACAAAGCTGCAGCTGTTCCAGCCCAAAAAGCGTGGTGTACTGACTGCGTATCGGATCTACTCTGAAAATCTCAGGTGCGAATCTGCACCAGACGTGGCTGGGTGCAGACTTCACAGCGGTTTTGCCCTCCTTTATCAGTTTTACAACGGCAACGCTCTGTCGCATAGATGCTCATCTGACTTTAGGGTGCGGTGCAGCGGTCCGGGTCGTGGGGTGCTTGGCGCAGGTGGTGGGTGCAGTGGCGCGGGTCGTGGGGTCGTGTTGTGGTGTGGGTGGGTCACGGGGTGGGGCGGGGAGGTGGGTGGATGGATGTGTTGGTTCCAGGTGAAATACTGAGTGGTACCATTGAAGTTGGGTCGCTGGTGGGGATTATGTTGCGGTTGTTGCCGCGGCAGAAATCGATGAACAAGCTTCACTGGCGGATTTTATTCCGCTGCGAAACTGAGAAACGTGAAACTAAGCTTGGGGCCCCAGCAGGGCTTGGGCTGCAGTACTTAAAATCAAGATGTGCCAAAGCGATGCACTCGCTTCGTAATCAAACCAATGGAATTCTGAATATCTGGCGTTCACTGACTTTCAACCACTCATACTCACTCACACACTCGCGCTCGCTACTTCACTGATCTCTCGCTCTGCTCACACTTTGGACTTGCTCCCTCGCTGGCTCCTCCCTCCCTCCCCTCCCTCCCTCCCCTCTCTCCCTCCCTACGTCCCTCCCTCCCTCCACCCGTCCATGCGTCCGTCCGTGCGTCTGTCCATGGGTTAGTTGCCCCCGTGGTCCGTCCGTCTCTGTCTCTATCTCTATCTCTATCTCTGTCTCTGTCTCTGTCTCTGTCTCTGTCTCTGTGTCTGTCTCTGTCTCTATCTCTGTCTCTTGCTTTCTTCTTCCTCTGCTGGGCTCGAGGGGAGCGGACCCGCCCCCGTGTGCTTGGCGTGCCCGTGACGTCCCGAGTCTGTCTCTCTCTTTCTTATTTTCCCTTTCTGTATCTCTCACTGTTTCCTCTGTCTCTCTCTCTCTCTCTCTCTCTCTCTCTCTCTCTCTCTGTGCGCGAAGCTTCTAAGCAGAGGACATCACAATTGTGGAGAGTCAATTCAGCATGCACCGGTTCATGTAAGGGCTCCACGACTAAGGCCAGACTAACTAAGGCACATGGGAGAGTTGGACAGCTTGTCAAGATGCAATGCAGTACGCACACACCTCGGTTCCTGAGCTGTACATCCTCTCCTGACAGGACGCTTCGGGCTGCCATCCAGACTTGTGGAAATTGCACCAAAGTCCGGGGCGGCGAAGCTGACGGACGGCCTGCACACAAAGAGGAGCTGTGCAGAAGGAAGCCGACACCCGAAGCCCTGTATCCAACCCTTCGTAAAGCCATAAGAAGCGACGCGGGCCCTTGAGCGGCTCGTTCAGGGCTAACCTCCTAGGAATCCAAGGAGCCGATCTGCGCCGATGTGTGGAAAGGTGTGTGTTTGCCTGAAGTACTCTCGAGCCCTGATACGAAGACCCCCACTACAAGCAACTCAACACCCATCCGTCTAACCTCTTGCCTCAACACCCCAAAGCAAAAACGGGACATAAGTCCAAACCGAAGAGTAAACCTTTGGCCTGGTTGGGTTGGTGAATGCGCCTGCTATCTGCTATCTAACACACGGAAACGAACCTGGCAGGAAGGCCCCCCTGAAACCTACATGAAACCTGCTGAATGTTCTTGCTTCACGTCGCTTGCGGAATGGAGCTTGTGCCGCGTGTCGTGTGATGTTGGAGTGCAAGGCTAAAACATCTGCAGAAATGCAGCACAGCCCTCACTTCAGGTGGACGATTGCTTGCTTTTAAGAATTGAAACCGCCCCCCATCCCAACGTGCCAAACCTTGCAGATTACTGGTTGTTACTGCTTGGTCGTCTGCTCTGCTTCCAATCATATCCGCTATCCGATACCATTCCCATGCAGCTACTCACCCTGGTTGTTGATTGGTAGGGGTGACATGTTCTGAAGTGCCTCTGATATTTTTAACTTGTGATACCTTGACGATCACGAGGAAACGAGGCGAGCTAGATCTAGAACCTCCTGTAATCCCGTGTACGGCTACATGAACCTGTTTTCAGAAAGCTCACCAGGTATCAGAGTACAACACCCAATCCAAGCCTTAAGCTTCCAGTGACGATTCGACGGTGTCAACTTTGCCGTGACACTCACTTCGTAGGGAACACCTGCAGGGAACTAAAGTAGCGCAAACTATCCAGCAAACGAAGCAGGATTTTAAACTTGCAGTTGGCCCAATTCGCTCTGTTAAGCAGCTTGGCGCAAGAGTATGCCCCCAGTAGCCCGCTAGCTCGTAAATCAGCCTCAGAATCCGAAACTCTGGAATGTTTGGGCTTGGAAGCTTAGAACCCTGACTCACTCAACACTTTGCCTCCCGGGGAAACATCCGGAGAAGCTTCGTCGACGCGCATCCGCATCCCTGCGCAAGAGTGCCAGGCAAAGTCTGAAGAAAAACATGACAGTTACAGTCCACTTCCGTCGCAGGGTACCCTTGAATCGTTGAAGGCTCGTCGGCAAGTCTGACTGATTGCTGTCCTTTCTGGGAACAAGCTTTGGCAAGTTGATGCTCGTCCACTGCCTGCCATCGGTATCGTGGAGGCTTCGGATTTTTGGATCACCGCGATGAAAAAAAAAAACACACGGTGCCAAGTGTTGCAATTCCAGGACTTGAAGCAAACATGCTGCGGGCAAGGGCATCCATGGAGAGCATCCTCCAGGGTTTTCTGGCTTTCTAAGTGGTGCTCCTACAAGAGCAGAGCAAGAGCAGAGCAGAGCAGAAAGAAGTGTATTGCCCCACGAATCAGTCTAGTGCGACTCCGATTTTGAAGACGCCCCAAGCAATCCGGGTGTACAGAATCCGTGCAGGGTTGAGGAATGGGAACCCAGAAATAACCATATTGCAGTGCTCGGCATAGTAGACCACGTGTGTGCGAAGTGGCATCTGCTCTTTTGGGGGCGTACTGAAGAGCTGCGTCAAGCAAATACAGTGAGTTGCACATGGCAGACGTCGGATATTAGAGACACACACACACAGACAATTGAAGCTGTTCGTCTGCCCATCCGCTCAAACAACTTGGCCCTGAACCAGGGCAAGCTCGAACCCCCGAACACGCGCTCAACACAGAACCGCAACCTAAACTCTTAAGCCTCTCAAGCCTCACTTCTTCTGGATCCATCGCAAACCCCCTCTCCAAGCTCAGAGAGAAGCCCTGAGCCTTGACATGCTTTCCCGGGCCCAGGTTCCGGCGGCTCAGAACGTGGCTTCAAGTTTAAGGCTCGGCAAGAATGAGAATTCCAAGGAGCAGATGAGGGAGCGGAGCGCAGATCACCGGAAGGGTGATCAGGAATCGCCGCTTTCGGGCGGTGAACTTCCTGGGCTGGCAGCCCCGGCGGTCAAGCGTTGAACGGCTGGCCGATGATCTTGCAAGGAATGCGCCCGGGGGGCGAGATGGCTCAAACTGGAAGTTTGGAAGTGTATGGTACAGCAGAGCAAGGTTGTTCAGGGGTTTAGCGGCTTTGAGGTTGACGGCGGTGCAGGGTCCGATGCTTGGATTTGTCTGCCCCCCCGTCGTTTGACAAGTCTGGGCCACGTGCAGCACCAGAGAAAGCGTGAAAGCACGCCTGACTGCCCTTCCCTTCGGTTGGCGTCTGGGATTCAAGCGGAGGCAAAATCAATCACACACACACACACACACACACACTCTGCACCTTCAAGCCAATGCCCACACACCAAACTCAACGTGCAACCCCGAAGGACGCATTCCCAGGGAAGTTTTATCGGGAGTTCGTTCGTGGTCCCAGAGGCCTCGCAGCCCTGACAGCGTGCAGACCTCGAAGACCCTTATAAGTCACGCCCCCCCTTTTTGCATTCCCGAGTTCAGCAATCCGGCATCCATTGGCGGACACGGGTGAAACGGCGTGGAGTGCCTGGCCGAGGTGGCTCATCGTACATTTTGTACCCTCTTGCAAGTCCATCTTAGCCTCGAATCCTGAAGGCCTTGTCACACACAACGCACCAGGCTCTGTCAGTCCCACAAGCAACGTGCGAAAGTGGCTCCCGCAGGGGCCGCGGGCCAACGACCTGCTTCCTTTCCGGTGGGTTGGGAAGGCTTTGTGCTTCATGTGCTTGCAACTGCAGCCTCGACACTCCGAAAAAGACAGCTGCTTCTCTGACTGATCAACGATGTAAATTGTGCCGAGCCTTAAGATACTTGGAACCGCAGCCTCGCCACTGAGGAAGAAAGGACTGGTCCGGCAAACTGGCCGTCTTTAAGGGGCCGGCTGGCATCTGTCACGCCCTCTGCGGCTTATAGCGTTGAGTAAATCGCGCGTCGGCTACGTTCATGCAAGCAGCCTAGCGGCCGAGCGGCCGAGCGTGCAGTGCAGATGCCAGCAATGTGCGGAGATTGTGCGCAGCGGCGCTCACTCCACGCCGCCGCCAGCTTCCTGGCAGCGTTGCTGAAAGCAAGCGCATCTCCAGCTGAGCGGCTCCAGAGTTGGAATCTCCAGGTGAAATCCACTTACTGGCGGCAAGTCTACAGTGCCGCCTCGACCTGCTGAACGGCCCTGCTGGCATCACTTCACTGCAAACCGTAAGTGCATGCGCGTCGAAACGGAAACGTCAGCAAGCACGGCCCCGGCGCCTCGATTCGATGAAGCGGAAACCTGCAACAGCGATCAACAGCGCAGCGAGCCATGACGATCCACACCCAAACCCCCCCGCCCCCCCTGAGACCCGCAAAAGACGAGCCTTCCGGAGAGGGAACCCCACCTCTGCCTACAAGAGCTCTCGAGGTTGGCCCACCCTAGCGAGATCCAAATCCGGCCCCCCTGATGCACAATGAGACGGAGCCCATGTGGCTCTCACCAGGGTCGTGGCAAAAAGACCTTTTTACGGGCGAGTCACGCCGAAACCGAAGCCTAAAGAAGTACTTCCGCCACTCTGCTGGTTTCCAATCCCGAACCCCGGCGCCCAATCCTGAAACCCCCCGCCCATTTCCCACAAGAACTTACAGAGACCGCCCCCACAAAAAAGACCCGGGCCTGCGGAGAAAGCAGGGATCCTCACACGTAGAACGTCTTCTCGGCGGCCGGGAGCGCCTCCAGGAGCCCGCGGATCTCCTTCTTTTCCTCTTCGCCTGCAAGGGGGCTCCGAAACAGGGCTTTCTTGAGGGGTCGGGTTCTCAAAGCTTCATCTTTTGGGGGTGTTGGAGCACCATAAGAGGGGGCCTGCCCAAGAGAAGTATAACTAGAAAAGAGGGGAACAGGTCGTACTTTAAGCCGGTCGCCACGATGAGCTGCAGACTTCGGGGCTCCAGGCCCCCCTCTGCCCCGCGAGCCAAAACAGACCCACCCTACACTTTGGCCCCGAATCCCTGAAATCGACCCTCCAGAAGTTTCAAAGAGCACTCTCCCAGGGCCCCCGGGCCGAGGTCGTTGTTCTCCAGGTCCACGTATAGCTCCCGGAGCTGCGTGAGCCGGCCGAGGGCGCCGGCCAGCGCGCGGGCAGCTTCCGGGCCTTTTTGGGAGCAAAAAAAGCATTCCGGAAAGTCCACCGCTCGGCTCCGATTCCTTGTGGTGCCGGGCTGAAGCGTTGAAGGCTTCGCTTCCGAGCCGAACTGGTCGTGCAGATCTTCTACGCTCAAGTCGCAAGTCAACAATCTGGGGAAGAACTGAGACACGCCAGCCAAAAAAACATTGCTCTGCTCCAAACCCCAAGACTCTACATAAGCCCAAACCAAAGAGTATGAGTTCATCTCCTTTGAACCACCCATTGCGTTGAACGACCAGCACTCGCAGGGCCCCCGGGCCCAGCCCGTTGCCGTCCAGGCCCACTTTCAGCGTGCTCAGCCGGGCGAGCTGGCCCAAGGCGGTGGCGAGGGATCGGCCGGCCTCGGGGCCTCGGGGGCCAGAGGGGAGCAGGCTTCATCTATTTCCGTTTCGAGGGCCCGTTCTCTACGGCGGAGAGGTTCGAGTATCCCATGCATTCCGCGCATTCCGTGCATTCCGAGCCGGCAGGATCCGCGCAGTTCCACATCTTGGAATCTTGGAGCCCCGTCAGCCCCTGCCGGGCGCCGGGCCGATGTCGTTGAAATGCAGCCACACCACCAGGGACTCCAGGTGAGCCAGTTGGGAGAGGGCGCCGGACAGGCACTGGCCGCCTTTCGGACCTCGGACTGAGGATCCGGAACTCTCCGGGCATGCTCTCTGTGGCTCGAGGCTCTCCCACGTACACAAAGCACGATGAAAAAACCCTCGGCCTGAATTTTCAATCACATTGGCAGATGCGAGGGATAGACAACCTTAATTTATGTCTACAAGTACAGGTCGTAACAGCAGTGGAATACCAAGAGCAGAGCAACAGAGTAACGATCACAATGTATTTATTGTAAGTCGAATATCCTGGAGTCCTGGAGCATCCTGGAGCCCTGTAGGTGCTGGGCTCTTTAAAATTAATTCCCTCTGCCCAAAAAGCCAAACGATAGTAAACCCAACCCACCCACCCCATAAACCTGCCTGCGAAGCCCTAATTTTTTTTATGAACCCTGCCGATACCCCGAGACTTCAGCGCCTCAGGCTTCTTGAACGGCAATTCAAACGACGGGACCTATCTTTGCATCTTCAAAGAGACGGGACTTATCCGCGGAGAGCGGCCTGAACTGAAGGCCGGGGGCTGAGGCCCCGGGCCGAGGGAGTTCCGGCTCAAGTCGAGGACCAGATTCTGGAGCTTTCCCAGCTTGCCCAAGCTGCGGGCGAGGTGCTCGCAGCCTGCGTCGCCTCGGCGCCCCGCGAGAGGCACGCGCTCCCCCCTTCTTGGGGGCAAAACACTCACGCAATAACACGCTTTGCCGAAGTAGCAGGCTTCAAAATGGTGATTCTTGGGAGCTTGCGAGGGCTATATCGGGGGCGAAAAAAGGGAGAGACCCTGAAGGCTTAGGACAGGACGTCAAGCTCCGAACCCTTTCATGCCAACCTTCTTGAGTGCATGCATACTACGTAGACTCACCACACCAACACCATGAAATCAGGAGCAGTCTGCCCCGGGCTCCAGATATATACACAATAGGGAATCACAAAACAAAAGCGGCGTGCTATGGGCACCCATTGGCTCCTGCAATGTTCTGCAGCTCCCTATATCGGTTTTCGCTCGACACCGCGCTCTCGCCTAGGCGCCGCTGCGCCAATTGCGTTCCCCCCCACCCCCCCCCACCCCCCCCCAACCCCCCACCCCCCCCACCCCCCCCACGCCGAAGCGCAGACCCCAAAAACACCATGCAGGATTTCACCTGACAAGTTCACTCCTCTTTTCACAGTGTTGGATATATGCAACCCCGATCCCAAAGCCGACTCGATCGGATGCTCGAGCTCGACCAAGACCGACATAAATCGACGATTTATGCGGGAAATCACCCCTGCTCTGTTGACACCTAAAACCTGCTATACTGTTATGCTCTTCGTTCCCTCCCGGACTGCATGAGCGGAGCCAGCGAAGCTGCATGTGTTGGACCTTTTGGACCTTTTGGAGCTGCCATGTCTCTATAAAGGCTCCGGGTTGGGAGCCTCGAATGCTCCGGCGGGCTGGGGCTGGAGTCTCGCCGTTATGCTTCTTTTGGGGGAGATCCCAGAAATCGGAGCCCTTCCTCGGGGCCTTGGGGCTCTAACCGGATGCTCTGCAGGTTGTTTCGTTGTGGCTGAGGCGGGCGCCCACAGGTCCCTTCCCTCACCGCTTCTTCGATTTATTCCAAAGTTCATTCCCTGTTTCCTTACTCAACATCTTGCTCAGAACCTTTCTCCAACTTACTCGGGATTCCCTTGAGCAGTGCTTTCATTCTACCTCGGACCTTGGAACGTGCTTGGAACGTCCCCGCCTTCCGCGACCCCCACACCAACCCCTGAGGTCCTGCAACCTTCCGGGGCCCCCAGCCGAGCCCGTTCTCGCCAAAGTCCAGGGTCAGCTCCTGGAGCTCCGGGAGTTCGCCGACGGCGCCGCCCAGCACGCCTCGGAGGGTCTTTCACTGGGAGTTCCTGTAAGGAGCTCCTCGGCTTGGCAACTTCGGAGGGTGTGATAATGAGAAAAATCAGCTTAAAAGACTTGGTGGGCTTCAGGGGGCCGAAAGGGTCCGGGAGGTTTTCGAGGGACCGCGTTCAGGAGGGCTAGGACTTAGGAAACGAAAGGAGAAACAGGAGCCCAGGGATGCCGTCGAGAAAATAAGAGGCTTGACATGTTGAAGACCTTCCTTTTTTCTAAGATGCCCAAAAAGGGCACGGCATGACCCGGGCATTGGGATGGCCCGCGAAGTTCGCATGAACCGGCTCCCAATCCTTCCGAAAATGGCTGCAAGCGGGCCTCAATCCGACCCTCCCAAACCGGGAGCATGAACCTTGCAACGCTTGCGTGGGCCTCACTTCAGGCTCCCGAAAGCCAACCTTTAAAATCCTTTAAAGAGGATTCCAGCGCTTCGTTTAAAGAGGATGCCTTGCAAAAAAACGGGCGGCTCTCCTCCCCTTTTTTTGTTAAAAGAGCTGCCTGAGCTGAGGGCACTGAGGCCCCGGGCCGACGGAGTTGCCGCACAAGTCGAGGCGCAGCTTCTGCAGACGGGGTATCTTGCGAAAGCCGGCGGCGAGGTGCTGGCAGCCTGCGTCGCCTCGGGGCGCCGCGAGAGGCACGCGAACTTCAGAGGAAAAAAAACTCACGCACAACGAAACACAGCGGCGGTTTTTCCGATGCACCGGGCTTGAAGATGGTGATTCTTGGGGGCTTGCGAGGGCTGCTTTGGATGAAGAAATTGGACAACCCGAAGGCCCAGGACAGGACGTCAAGCTCCGAACCCATTGCATCTCAGAGCCGATGCGCCCAAGCGCAGTTTAGGGATCTCTCGCCATGCGGTGCATGATGGTACGCGTCCATTGCTTGATTGGAGCCCCCTCGACACGCTCCCTCGACACGGTAAGCCATGCATGCGTGGAATGCAGGACAAAGGCCAGGGGCGGGCGATGCTCCATGCCAGAAGTCCGAAGGGAAAAAAACTCAACTGATGCTCAACCACGATAAAGCCTGCAAAGCCCGAAGCCCGCAGCCTCTCAACTCCAAGTAATATTCAACCCCGGCCGTTCGCCCTGGAATCCCACAGAACCTCAGAACGCCCCCGACTCGCTTGACCGCTTGACAGGTGAAAGAAGGAATGTTTCAGAAAAATCTCCGGAGATTCTTGCGAAACGGCGTTTCAAGACGTGCAACTCAAACGGGTCCATGCGGGGCGGCCGCTTATAAGCCATACCTGGCATCTTGCATGCATAAGTCGCCGGACCAGAGTCGCACGCAGAAGTCGGGGCCCATGACATCGGACATGCTCGGGCATGCTCGGACTCTCGGTCTACTGGAAGCGGCGAGGCTCGAAGCTTGGAGGCGCTCAGGGCTCCAACTTGGGCTTGAGAGAGTTTCGGGCTGAAAGTCTTGGCTTCGAGACATCGAGTCTCGGGCGCTTCGACTTTGGTGTCTCGGAGTTCTTTTTTGAAGGGAAAATCCCAGAATTTGAAATCAGGGGCTGATTTGCGTTCTGGGGGGCCGCCTCGGGGCTTAGGGCTTCACGGAATGCTCTGCAGATTGTGAGTCTCGTTGTGGCTGAGGCGGGCGCCCACAGCTCACCGCTTCTTCGATTTATTATTCCAAAGTTCATTCCCTGTTTCCTTACTCAACATCTTGCTCAGAACCTTTCTCCAACTTACTCGGGATTCCCTTGAGCGGTGCTTTCATTCTACCTCCGACCTTGGAACGTGCTTGGAACGTCCCCCCCTTCCGCGACCCGCACACCAACCCCTGAGGTCCTGCAACCTTCCGGGGCCCCCAGCCGAGCTCGTTCCTGCGAAAGTTCAGGGTCAGCTCCTGGAGCTCCGGGAGTTCGCCGACGGCGCCGCCCAGGCAGCGGCCTCCCTCCACGCCTCGGAGAACTCGGCTTGGCAACTTCGGAGGGTGTGATAATGAGAAAAATCAGCTTAAAAGACTTGGTGGGCTTCAGGGGGCCGAAAGGGTCCGGGAGGTTTTCGAGGGACCGCGTTCAGGAGGGCTAGGACTTAGGAAACGAAAGGAGAAACAGGAGCACAGGGATGCCGTCGAGAAAATAAGAGGCTTGACATGTTGAAGACCTTCCTTTTTTCTAAGATGCCCAAAAGGGCACGGCATGACCCGGGCATTGGGATGGCCCGCGAAGTTCGCATGAACCGGCCTCCCAATCCTTCCGAAAATGGCTGCAAGCGGGCCTCAATCCGACCCTCCCAAACCGGGAGCATGAACCTTGCAACGCTTGCGTGGGCCTCACTTCAGGCTCCCGAAAGCCAACCTTTAAAATCCTTTAAAGAGGATTCCAGCGCTTCGTTTAAAGAGGATGCCTTGCAAAAAAACGGGCGGCTCTCCTCCCCTTTTTTTGTTAAAAGAGCCTGAGCTGAGGGCACTGAGGCCCCGGGCCGACGGAGTTGTTGTACAAGTCGAGGCTCAGCTTCTGCAGACGGGGTATCTTGCGCAAGCCGCCGGCGAGGTGCTGGCAGCCTGCGTCGCCTCGGGGCGCCGCGAGAGGCACGCGAACTTCAGAGGAAAAAAAAACTCACGCACAACGAAACACAGCGGCGGTTTTTCCGATGCACCGGGCTTGAAGATGGTGATTCTTGGGGGCTTGCGAGGGCTGCTTTGGATGAAGAAATTGGACAACCCGAAGGCCCAGGACAGGACGTCAAGCTCCGAACCCATTGCATCTCAGAGCCGATGCGCCCAAGCGCAGTTTAGGGATCTCTCGCCATGCGGTGCATGATGGTACGCGTCCATTGCTTGATTGGAGCCCCCTCGACACGCTCCCTCGACACGGTAAGCCATGCATGCGTGGAATGCAGGACAAAGGCCAGGGGCGGGCGATGCTCCATGCCAGAAGTCCGAAGGGAAAAAACTCAAATGATGCTCAACCACGATAAACCCTGCAAAGCCCGAAGCCCGCAGCCTCTCAACTCCAAGTAATATTCAACCCCGGCCGTTCGCCCTGGAATCCCACAGAACCTCAGAACGCCCCCGACTCGCTACTCGCTTGACAGGTGAAAGAAGGAATGTTTCAGAAAAATCTCCGGAGATTCTTGCGAAATGGCGTTTGGAGACGTGCAACTCAAACGGGTTCATGCGGGGCGGCAGCTTAAGCCATACCTGGCATCTTGCATGCATAAGTCGCCGGACCAGAGTCGCACGCAGAAGTCGGGGCCCATGACATCGGACATGCTCGGGCATGCTCGGACTCTCGGTCTACTGGAAGCGGCGAGGCTCGAAGCTTGGAGGCGCTCAGGGCTCCAACTTGGGCTTGAGAGAGTTTCGGGCTGAAAGTCTTGGCTTCGAGACATCGAGTCTCGGGCGCTAAACTGCCAAAAGCCCGGATTTTGAGTGAGGCCCCAATTTGCAAGGATGATGCGCACGCCGCAACCGTCACCTACCATGAGCTACGCCTGCGCCACCGGACGTTGGTTACTCAAACCGACATGAATCGAGAAGTGTACCGTTGATGGCCAGGGTTGGGGGTTTTGCGGGCTGGGTTTCCGCGTCCCCTCCTGGCATCCTAAACCTCAGCCACATGCGATGGCGCCCTAGGCTCCCGAACCCTACAGGCAGCCGGCTTGGGGCGCTGTGTGAAACGTTTGGAAGGGTGCAGATATGGAGATGTCTTGTGACTCTCGCAAACTTGGATGATCTCCGTGAGCATCCGAAGCATGGCAAGTCAGATCAGCCCAACACCAACACATTTCAGCATGCTCCTACTAGACTCACCTCACCAACACCATGAAGTCAGGAGCAGCCTACTCCGGGCTCCAGATATAGGGAGTCACAAAACAAAAGCGGCGTGCTATAGGCACCCATTGGTTCCGGCAATGTTCCGCAGCTACCTATAGGTTTTCGCGCGACACCGCGCTCTCGCCTAGGCGCCGCTGCGCCAATTGCGGTCCCCGCCCCCCCCCCCCCCCCCCCCCCCCCCCCCCGAAGCGTCGAGCCCATGAGCCTGGCAGAATCTGGTTTACTCGTTCGGCGAAGACGGCAACAAAAAGACAATTGGGGTGAAAACAGGTACGCGCACCCATGCAGGATTTCACCTGACAAGTTCACTCCGCTTTTCGCAGCATTGGATGTATGCAACCCCGAGCCCAAACCCGACTCGATCGGATGCTCGAGCTCAACCAAGGCCGACATAGATCGACGATTCATCAGGGAGATCACCTCTTCTCTCTTGACACCTTCAAAGAAGCTGGATATGTTCGACCTTTTGGAGCTGCCATGTCCAAAGGCTCCGGGTTTGGAGCCCAAAAGCATCTCGGATGTTGGGTTCTCGTTTAGGTTCAAAACGCGAGAGAGTGATACCGGGGAATGGCGGCGCGGGGTGAAAGCGAAACGGGGATGAAATCGAAGCGGGGATGAACGAAGCGGGGATGAGAACGAAAGAGGGATGGCGTGGGGATCAGAAGGGCCGGATGAAAACGAAACGGGTGAAAACGAAACGGGGATGGCGCGGGGATCACGACACGGGACGAAAACCTAACGGGGTTGAAACGAAACGGGGATGAAGATGAAACGAGCATGGCGCGGGGATCACAACGAGACGGAGCGAAAAAGAAACAGGGTCCCGCCTGCAGGATGAAAACGAAACGGGGATGAAAGCGAAGCGGGGATGAAAACGATATGAAAACGCAACCGGGAGGGATTTTCATTGAATGTATTACGGACTGCGGCGCGTACTGCGGTGCGGGAAGCTGAGGGATTTTCGTTGAATTGTAGTACAAATGTAGTACTGGGAGGACAGAGCCGGAGGGGCGCGAGAGCGGACTGCGGCGCACACGACCCGTACGGCGGCGCGGGAAGCGGAGGGATTTTCGTTGAATTGTAGTACAAATGTAATACTGGGAGGACAGAGCCGGAGGGGCGCGAGAGCGGACTGCGGCGCGTACGACGGCGCGTACGGCGGCGCGGGAAGCTGAGGGATTTTCGTTGACTTGTAGTACAAAGTAGTAATATTGGGAGGACAGAGCAAAATGTGCATACGGAATGGACTGGTGTCATTCGGATTGTTTTTGGGGTTCCTGGCTTGACCTTGTTGTTGGAAGGGGAGATCCCAGAATTCGGTGCCCAGGGGCTGATTTGCTCTCGGGCACCCACAGGTCTGGAGTCTCGGAGTTCTTTTTTGAAGGGAAAATCCCAGAATTTGAAATCAGGGGCTGATTTGCGTTCTGGGGGGCCGCCTCGGGGCTTAGGGCTTCACGGAATGCTCTGCAGATTGTGAGTCTCGTTGTGGCTGAGGCGGGCGCCCACAGCTCACCGCTTCTTCGATTTATTATTCCAAAGTTCATTCCCTGTTTCCTTACTCAACATCTTGCTCAGAACCTTTCTCCAACTTACTCGGGATTCCCTTGAGCGGTGCTTTCATTCTACCTCCGACACACCAACCCCTGAGGTCCTGCAACCTTCCGGGGCCCCCAGCCGAGTCCGTTCTTGCCAAAGTCCAGGGTCAGCTCCTGGAGCTCCGGGAGTTCGCCGACGGCGCCGCCCAGCCAGCGGCCTCCCTCCACGCCTCGGAGGGTCTTTCACTGGGAGTTCCTGTCAGGAGCTCCTCGGCTTGGCAACTTCGGAGGGTGTGATAATGAGAAAAATCAGCTTAAAAGACTTGGTGGGCTTCAGGGGGCCGAAAGGGTCCGGGAGGTTTTCGAGGGACCGCGTTCAGGAGGGCTAGGACTTAGGAAACGAAAGGAGAAACAGGAGCACAGGGATGCCGTCGAGAAAATAAGAGGCTTGACATGTTGAAGACCTTCCTTTTTTCTAAGATGCCCAAAAGGGCACGGCATGACCCGGGCATTGGGATGGCCCGCGAAGTTCGCATGAACCGGCCTCCCAATCCTTCCGAAAATGGCTGCAAGGGGGTCTCAATCCGACCCTCCCAAACCGGGAGCATGAACCTTGCAACGCTTGCGTGGGCCTCACTTCAGGCTCCCGAAAGCCAACCTTTAAACTCCTTTAAAGAGGATGCCTTGCAAAAAAACGGGCGGCTCTCCTCCCCTTTTTTTGTTAAAAGAGCTGCCTGAGCTGAGGGCACTGAGGCCCCGGGCCGACGGAGTTGCCGCACAAGTCGAGGCTCAGCTTCTGCAGACGGGGTATCTTGCGCAAGCCGCCGGCGAGGTGCTGGCAGCCTGCGTCGCCTCGGGGCGCCGCGAGAGGCACGCGAACTTCAGAGGAAAAAAAAACTCACGCACAACGAAACACAGCGGCGGTTTTTCCGATGCACAGGGCTTGAAGATGGTGATTCTTGGGGGCTGGCGAGGGCTGCTTTGGATGAAGAAATTGGACAACCCGAAGGCCCAGGACAGGACGTCAAGCTCCGAACCCCTTGCATCTCAGAGCCGATGCGCCCAAGCGCAGTTTAGGGATCTCTCGCCATGCGGTGCATGATGGTACGCGTCCATTGCTTGATTGGAGCCCCCTCGACACGCTCCCTCGACACGGTAAGCCATGCATGCGTGGAATGCAGGACAAAGGCCAGGGGCGGGCGATGCTCCATGCCAGAAGTCCGAAGGGAAAAAACTCAACTGATGCTCACCACGACGAGTCATCGAATGCCTAAACCCTGCAAAGCCGGAAGCCCGAAGCCCGCAGCCTCAAGTAATATTCAACCTCGACCGTTCGCCCTAGAATCCCACAGAACCTCAGAACGTCCCCGACTCGCTTGACCGCTTGACAGGTGAAAGAAGGAACGTTTCAAGAAAAATCTCCGGAGCTTCTTGCGAAACGGCGTTTCAAGACGTGCAACTCAAACGGGTCCATGCGGGCGGCCGCTTATAAGCCATACCTGCCATCTTGAATGTAAAAGTCGCCGGACCAGAGTCGCGCGCAGCAGTCGGGGCCCATGAAATCGGACATGCTCGGGCATGGGTCTACTGCAAGCGGCGAGGCTCGAAGCTTGGAGGCGTTTAGGGCTCCAACTTGGGCTTGAGAGAGTTTCGGGCTGAAGTCTATAGGCTTCGAGACATCGAGTCTCGGGCGTTAAACCGCCAAAAGTCCGGATTTGGAGTGAGGCCCCCGTCGCAAGGATGATGCGCACGCCGCGGCAACCGTCACGTATACCATAAGCTACGCCTGCGCCACCGGACGTTGGTTACTCAAGCCGACAGCAATCGAGAAGTGCACCGTTGATACCCAGGGTTGGGGGGTTTTGCGGGCTGGGTTCTAAACCTCAGCCACATGCGATGGCGCCCTAGGCTCCCGAACCCTACAGGCAGCCTACAAGGCTTTCGGGGTTTGGGGCGTGAAACGTTTGGGAGGGTGTGAGGATATGGAGGTGTCTTGTGACTCTCGCAACTTGGATGATACTCCGTGAGCATCCGAAGCATGGCAAATCAGATCTGCCCAACAGAAACACAATTCAGCATGCTTCTGCTAGACTCACCTCACCAACACCATGAAGTCAGGAGCAGTCTGCTCCGGGCTCCAGACAGGAAATCACAAAATTGAGCGGCATGCTATAGGCACCCATTGGTTCCCGCAATGTTCCGCAGCTCCCTGTAGGTTTTCGCGCGACGCCACGCTCTCGCCTAGGCGCCGCTGCGCCACTTGCGTGATCCCCCCCACCCCGAAGCGTCGAGCCCATGAGCAGAATATGATTACTCGTTCGGCGGAGACGGTAAAAAAAGACAATTGGGGTGAAAACAGGTACGCGCACACCATGCAGGATTTCACCTGACAAGTTCACTCCGCTTTTCGCAGCGCTGGATGTATCCAACCCCGAGCGGCCCCCAAGCCCAAAGCCGACTCGGTCGGATGCTCAAGCTCGACCAAGGCCGCCATAGATCGACGATTCATCAGGGAAATCAGCCCTTGACACCTTAAAAGAAGCTGGATATGTTGGACCTTTTGGGGCTGCCATGCCTAAAGGCTCCGGGTTTGGAGCCTCGAACGCTCCTGGGGGTTCGACTTTGGAGTCTCGCCGTTATGCTTCTTGTTGGATGGCGAGATCCCAGAATTCGGAGCCCAGGGGCTGATTTGCCTCGGGTCTTCGGGCTCAACAGAATTCTCTACAGCCCTTCTCACTGCTTCTTCGATGAATTTATTCCAAAATTAATTCTTGTTTTCTTTTAGTACATCTTGCTCAGAATCTGCTTCTTCGCTTTGTTCCAAAGGTCACTCCCTGATTCCTTACTGAACATCTTGCTCTGAGTCTTACTCCATCTTACACTCGGATTCCCCGAGCGGCGGATTCATTCTACCCCCGAACTTGGAAAGTTTTTAGAATGTCCCCCCCCCTCCGCGACCCCCACACCAACCCCGAGGTCCTGCAACCTTCCGGGGCCCCCAGCCGAGCTCGTTCCCCCAAAAGTTCAGGGTCAGCTCCTGGAGCTCCGCGAGTTGGCCGACGGCGCCGCCCAGCCAGCGGCCTCCCTCCACGCCTCGGAGAAATCTTTCACTGGGAGTTCAACGTTGCGAGGGTGATGAGGGGAAAAGAAGCTTAAGGACCTGGTGGGCTTCTGAGGAGGTTTCGAGGGTCTAGAGGGCCGCGTTGAGGAGCGCGGGGTGTTCTGAAACGAAAGGAGCACGAGGAGCCCAGGGAAGCCGTCGAGAAAAATAGAGGCTTGACATGTTGGAGTCTTCCTCTTTCCCCCGCGAAGCGGCACGGAACGAGGCCCGAACCCATGTTGCCTGGGCATGCCCGGGCATTGGGATGGCCCGCGATTTTCCCATGGACCGGCTGTAGCTGATGTGCACACTAATGCATCGAAAAGGTCGGCACTTTTCCTCTATCTGCTTGCACCGCTGTCGGTTGGCCTTGAGCCAAACACGTTCACCCGTTGAATCCTGCGCATGCAATGGAACCTGTCACGTCAATAGGACTGGTGTCTAAATCTTCAAGCGACAGTCCCATCCAATTTAAGTTGACGTGACATACAGGATTGATGAGCCTGAGCACTTTGGCACCGTAGGGAGATTCAGATCTGGAATGAACCAGCTGTACGGAGAACCAAGCCTAGCATACTGCCAAATGGGCATATCAAGTGGCTCAGAAGCAATAGACATTAACTGCGCAGTCTCTTGCAATAACTGACGATCTGACGCCGCCTTGGATCTTAACTTCCTCTTTGGGTCTTGAGCTCGCTCAGATAACTCGTCATGTTCAACTACGAGTTGAAGCTTCCCAGAGCCCAGTAGATGTAGTAGAGCTCCAGCTCCTTTGGAAATATCAGCCTTGGTGAGAGCATCTACAAACATTTTGAAATGTGGAACCCACCGAATAGTAGCCTGTGATCTCTTCATGGCCTCAGAAACAATTGCGAGTTCAATCGCAGTCCGGCGGTCTTGTTTTGATGAGGAGCCTCCCTCTTTTTGAATCACATCAAACACTGATTTTGCATCGATAACATGAACTTGAGGATTGCGATGACATAGTGGGGATGCGGAGGGCATCGCAATCATGTAAGGCGAGAGTTGGTCAGCCCATTCACCTGACACGTCTCCGACCAGAACGCTTCTCAACATAACCTGCATCCACACTACTTGTGCCATACCCTGACTAAGAGCCAGCGCTTCTCCTGCTAGAGTTGAGGGAACCCGGCGTTTCAACTTGGCTGATCTCCAGCACACCGGTGATACTCGGACCCTTTCAGCTCCAGTAGGGAGCCGCTCGGCAGCTAAGACTAGCCACGCGCCCTGCGTTCCATCAGATGGTGAACCATCGCCTTCGCACGATTGAGGCAGTGATCCCACACCACCTGCGTCTGACCCGACTATGAACGCCATATTTTCGATATCGAACTTCCATAAGATCAAAGGTCTGGACGCTGTATTGCGCAGGTGAGAAACCATTTTGTTCATGGTGTGAATGTCTTCGACTGTGCCTTCGTGTAACCGGGAGGCTAGGATAGAGCACATGCCGCTAGCTTCAGGACGAGTTTCTTTTGCGACCCAACTGATTTTGTACAAAAGGGATCTGGCAGCTTCGAACTCATCGTCCAACAGCTTCTCCTTTCGTTGTCCGCGCCTGGCCTTGGGGAGCTTGATTGGGAAGAGATTCTCAAGAATGTATTTGTCTTGAAAAACTTCGATGCGATCACTGCGTACACGCACTCTTCGTCCTGCGTAGTCTTCTTCATTACTCACCCAACGCCCAAACTGGAATCTCTTCATAAGACTGTCTTTGATTTCGGCCTTGCACTCCTCATCTGAGGCGATTACTAGGTCATCCACCTCCACAAGAATCATGGACGTCACAGCGCCCGCCCTGCGACGAACAAAAAGACAGTTCTCAAAGGGGTTTTGCTCAAACCCCAGCTGATTGATTAAATGATCTTTGACTGTCTCTCGCCATGCCCTTGGAGCGTCCAATAATCCGTAAACAGGCGCAACCAGTTGTATCAGCGTGCCTGGAGGAAGCCCCAATCCAGGACAGGCCTCAGCGTAGACTGGTCCCGCTGCGCGCTGTATGGGATTTGATTGACAAAAGGCATTTTTGACGTCTGCGAAGTCAATCGAAAGACCTAGCCCCAACGCCATGAGCAGGAAGAGATACAAGGACTCAGTCATTGGCGTAGGGCTGAAGGTTTTAAGTTGAGGAGCATCATGATCCTGATGACCATGTACACACCATCTTGACTTGGCCTTCTTGCAGCCTATGCCAGGTTGAGGCTTCCACCGGCGCACGATGCGACTGGTCATGATCCGCTGAGGCATCTGTTTCTTCACACGTTCTGATTCATTTGGAGATAGCACCAACACAGCTCCTGTGTCTACTATAGCCTTCCACTCTGCAGCGTCAGATTTGTCAAACTGAAGTCTTTCTTCAGAGTTTAGATCCTTGAGACTTATCTCGTTACCACTGCCAACTACAAAACACCAGCCAGAATCCAAATTCTCAAAGATGTACGTTTCTGAAACTGGTATCTCTGCTGAGTTGGAAGCGAACATGGCATCGAAGAGAGCTTGATCTTCGCTGGATGGCTCAGCTCCTGAGCGCCGAGATGCGTGAACGTAGTCTATCATTTCTCGGGCAGCACTTTGCATCCTTTGCTCCAGAGGATCATCATGTCGAAAGGCTGCGTGTTGCGATGAGGGCGTGGCGGCTGATGAAGAGGCAGCTGATGGCGCTCGCGCTTGCACACCTGGAGCCAGATCATGTAGCCTCTGACGTTTAGGATCTGAAGCAGTTTCTGAAGCATCTGAGGATCTGTGCGTAATCGTTGAATGAGGTCGCGAAGGAACATCAGTTTCCCTGGTCACCTGGCGGGCAAATGGTTCAACAGGAACTGGTACTTGTGGAATTTGTGCTTCAGGACTTACTATGGCGGGATGCTGTTCTGGTATGGGAGGTAGAAGCGGCGGCGTCTCGGGCTCATGAATCGGCGTGGGTTCCCAAGCTTCTGCAGGGGGATCACCCTCGCGAGCAACATCTACGGCTGAGGCCCTGACACCTGGAGACACGGACTGCAGAAGTTCACGTAGATCCGATTCCTGCGCCAGCTGAACCCCGAGAATTTCTTCTCTGAGAGCGGGTCTGAGCTGCCTCGTATCGCACTTCCAAAGTCTTGCTCGTACCTGCACCCACACTGTTGAGCCATGCTGTAGCACAACTGTACCAGGTCCTACCCACCTGCTCCTTGGCAATAAGATCTGAGAGGTAGTTGAGCGCACAGACGGAGCAGCCTGACGCCAAACGTACACCCACTGCCCCACGTTCCAGTTCTTAATCTCGTGTCTCTTTGCCCGACCGGCTCTTGCCACACGATCTCGAGCGTCATGTTGAATTGCCCTTTCTCTGGCTTTCTGACGAATCTGAAATCTCTTGCTAAATTCAGCTGCTGGGGTGTCACCATCTAAGGGATCGGCATGAAGATCCGCCAGCCCGAGCTCGCCAGGGCCATCGTCTGTCAAGAGTTCATGGGGGACTCTTGGACCATGCCCAAAAATCAACTGAAGAGGCGAAAAACCACCTCTACTATACCATTGATTTTTGCAGGAAGTCAATGCTGACACGAACTCTTCCAGATCTGACACGGTTTCCAGAACACATGCTCCTGACTCAAGTTCAGCACTCAGTCTGGATTTTAGCCAGCCAGCCTCCATGCCGTTCAGCTCGCGCGTTTTGCCATGGAGCTTCACGCGCTGCGACCCAGTGAAATACTCCGTGCTGTTCTAGGCCCCGACTAAAGCGCCCTTCAAATTCAGCCCCTTGATCTGTGACAATTATCTCAGGCTCAAAGAAATATCTCAACCAGGTGGTCTGAAAAGTGCGCCATACATCTGCAGAACACGGAGTACCACCAGATACTTCATGATGCTTGTTGCGCACAACGCAGGTCATCTGAAACCCTGTTCCATGGTCCACAACGTTCAGGAATGGCACTGATTTTTGCATAAAGTTCACATAAAACACATCCATCCCCAAAACTTCGTTAAACCGATATGATGGAGGAATGGCTGCTTTACGTCTGTGCCTAGGTCGACGCTGCAAATCACAGTGCGCACAGGTCATGTCATCGCGGACCCATTTCAGAATGTGAGCCTTTGTGCCCGCCGCCTTGAGGATACGCAAGAACTGATCCCGTGGAGGATGGGACAAGTTCACATGCAACTTGACAATCATTTGAGTCTCCCGGGCCGTGGGCTTCGGCATCTCTCTGGAATTTGGCATCTGCTGTGGTTCTTCTTGCGTTTCGGATTCTGAATCGGAAGAGGTATCGGAAGATGAAGCTGAGTCAGAACTATCTGAAGAACCGTCTGACATAGCCGGAAAACACAAGCTGTCTGTTGACATCTCTGGAGTTGCATCACACGCTGGAGTCGTAGAGCACACTTGCTTAGCACACCTTTGCTTAACATCAGCTGGAATCTTGACACGATGATCATCGCTCACATCTTGATCCAACAGTAACGCATGCAACCCTGGACACCAGCATCTGACATGTGTGGCATCTGAAAGGCCTTGCGCAGTCTGATTGGAACCATCAGGTCGAATCTGCAGCAACACTCGCCTGTCGATATCTTGCTCCCCGGGAAGCTCCACTCTAGACTTGCGCAGCTCTGGAGAAAGTCTGAACAGGAGAAAGCCTCGTTCCGCACTCACCTCGCTCACTCCATGCTCCCACGGAATTACGGTGGAGTTCCAAAATGAGTGGGAGCTGGATGCTCCACGTCCATCCAGGAGCCGCTTTGAGAGCCCAGACCTTGCGGGCTCATGGCTGCCAGAAGTTGTTGCTCTGCAATGGCGGTCAGCTGAGCCTGATGTTGCTGCACTTCCGTGGCTGTGGAGTCCATTGATTGCCCCGCCACTGCCGTCATGGATCGAAGAACCTGCCACTGAGCGGCATTCTCCTGCGTGAGAGCATTTACTGACTGGTCTAGCTTGCGTAGTTGCTTCACTACCTCCTCGATTGACATGGCCAGCAGGGACTCCACCTCCGCCTTGGACACATGCTCCTCGGCCTTGATTTGCTGAGCTGTCTCCCTGGCCGCTCTTGAGGCTGCATCCTTGATGGCTTCCTGAACATCCACGCTTTCGTGGATCGATTTGGTCTCTTTCCCCTTTGACTTGGCTTTGGCTTTGGCCTTGGCGGAAAGTTGTGCGACATATGACGTGCGTGCCAGACATAGTCCGCACTGCGTCCATCTTCCCCACTGGTTCCCACCCCTGCGCTGATGCGATTGTGGATGAGAGCAGGCGCGCTGCTCCGGAGTCCACTCCGTCTTGTCGATGGACTTGGAAGGATGTTTCATGGCCTTCTGTTCCAAGTACAGCTTCACCATCTGGGCGGCAGTCGTCATTGCGAACTGCAGCATCGTAATGGCCAGTCGGCGCCACCGAGACTCCACATGAGTGAACATGACAGGACGCGGACTCAGGAGGAGTGAAGGAGGAGTTCGGGAAACTAGCGCTTGCGTTGCTCTCAAGCCCTGAACTCTCACAGCAGGGATCAAGCGTCACAGGCTTCTCAAACCGATTGTCATGAACACCGTGCGGCAAATGCGACTCTGCTTGTAACAGACTGACCCCCTTGTATGCTTCTGCGGTCGCGCATGGAATCTGAAAGTCGCAGGCCTCAATCTTCGCACTAGAACACATCAGGTCCACGGGAACAAGCTCTGCTGCGAACCTCTGCGTGGGCAGGACGTTCACCACCCGGTGTCCCGATCTGCTTCGGGTCACCTTGGCTTCCTGGGGGGCATTCTTGAAATGGACCGTGTTGTTCGGGAGATTGATGCATGCGCCTAGGCTGTCTAACAGTCCGACGGACAAGAGGTGCGGGATCGATTCCTCTAGAACTTTGGTCTTCACGAATCCGAGGCGACCGCCAAGTTCAACTGGCAGGATTGCATAGCACTTGGCTCTCGACGATCCACCTACCCCCTTTGCTGGGGGGGAACTTTCTGGAAGAATCACCCCTTGCCAACCCAAGTTGCTCAGGGCAGTCTGATACTGCTCGAAAGCGGAGGCGCCTATAAGATCCTCACCTGCACCGATGTCCAAGATGGCTTGGCCTGGGGCCAAGGAACTCAAGGATAGAAAGTTCCACGGCGACGTAGTCGAGGACGAACACCCTTGGCGAATCTCACGAACAATCTCCAGGCCCGCAATCGTAACGAATGAAGACGAGGAAGCGTCAAAAGTCGAGAAGACGAACGCCGAGGAAGATGATCGTGCCTCATGCTGCTGCGAGGACCTTGGTTGCGCAGGGTTAGGACACTCCCGAGCCCAGTGGCCCTTCTGACCACATTTAGCGCATTTGGTGACAAGCTTGAGCTTGTCTATGGGAAGCCTTCGGTTATGAGCAGAGGACGTGGAAGACGTCGAAGCGGCGGTCCTGTCGAAGCGCTGGCGGTCCTTTCGGATGGACCGGCGGAGATCTTTGTTTTCTTTCCACGTCCGACGGCGACCTTGCTCAAGCACTGCCCACACCTTAGAACACTCTTCCTCAGAGACATTCAGCTTGTCAAGCTCAAACAGGATCATGGCCTCATCCTCCGAGTCAATGTCCGAGTCCACCTCTTCTTCGAGGTAGACGCCCGAAGTGTCGGCATGAAAGGTTTTCTTGAGAAGTTTGGACGAGGCAGCGGGAGCCTCCATCATAAGAAGAGCCCTCCGTACCACCTCGAAGGCTTGGCTTCCCCCTGTGAGAGTGCGAAGGTTCTGAACTCCTTGCTCATTGAGCCCCGCCCCTTCTTCCAACAAAGCTCCTCGGACATCTGAGGGAATAGCAACTCCCACATTTTCCGCCTGAATGAACTGTTGATGTCGTCTATGGACGTATTGAGCTACAGATTCATCACGTTGTCTTGTATGCTCGAACAACGCCTCCCTGACAAGTCTGTGCTTCTCGGTGGTTGCCATGACTCCAGCTTCAAGATCTAAGATCTCCAAAATCTTCTGCAGGTAGTCAGGCCCCTGAAGCTCTTGTTCGCTAAGATGGTCGAACCGAGACATCAGAGTCCAGTCAAAGAGCCTCAGCACCTTCTCTGCTCTTCGCCATGGCTTGACGTCTGTTACTGAATCCCATCGCACCAGAGCCTTCTTGAAAATGCGGTAATGCTGAAATCCTGGAAAAGACGGAGGATCTGAGTAATCTCCTTTCTCCGGCTGTCGGGGAAGAGAGCCTGGCCACCCTCTTGGAGGTCCGTCATAGATCTCTGGCGGGGCGCGCTGGTTAAAAGGCATGACCGAAGAAGCCCTGTTCAACCCCCATGCTTCTTGAACTCCTTGGAGAGGTACTGGCTGTTGCTGAGGCGCCGGTGCTTCCTTCACACTACGCGCCCGTGGCAACAGCCTCAAAGGCACGGGAATGTCGCCTTCGGGAGGCTCGGGAGGCTGCGCTGACGGCTCTTCATAGGCACGGCGAAAATCTTCTCTTGGTTGAGGCAGCCTCAATCCGCCCGGCAACGATGGTACATCAGAGGCCATGGCCTAACCTAATTCTAGCACAATGCGCCCCTCACCTGCTCAGCTGCGCAGCTTCACCCTGGTTGTTGCCAGGGCTCCGCTACCAACTGTAGCTGATGTGCACACTAATGCATCGAAAAGGTCGGCACTTTTCCTCTATCTGCTTGCACCGCTGTCGGTTGGCCTTGAGCCAAACACGTTCACCCGTTGAATCCTGCGCATGCAATGGAACCTGTCACGTCAATAGGACTGGTGTCTAAATCTTCAAGCGACAGCGGCCTCCCAATCCTTCCGAAAATGGCCGCGGCAGGGGGCTTCAGTTCAGGGGGCGACAAAAACTGTTGTAACGCTTGAGTGGGCCTCACTGCATGCGGCATGGGACATGCTATTATCGTACAATATGTAAAGCCTTCGCCGCCTCAGGCTCTTGCCAACCTTCAAAGAGCAAGCCTTGCAAAAAACGGGCGGCTCTCCTCCCCTTCTTGTTTGAGGAGAGCTGCCTGAGATGACGGCTCTGAGGCCCCGGGCCGACGGAGTTGTTGCGCAAGTCGAGGCTCAGCTTCTGCAGACGGGGTATCTTGCGCAAGCCGCCGGCGAGGTCCTGGCAGCCTGTGTCGCCTCGGGGCGCCGCGAGCGGCACGCGAACTTAAGAGGCAAACAAAACTCACGCAGCAAAAAACACAGCGGCTGTTTTCCGATGCACCGGGCTTGATTCTTGGGGGCTTGCGAGGGCTGCTTTGGATGCAGAAATTGGACAACCCGAAGGCCCAGGCTCGGCTTGCCCCCCCCCCATGCGTTGCATGATGGTCCGCGTCAATTCGGGATTGGAGCCCCTTTGACATGCTCCCTCGACACGGAAAGCCATGCATGCGTGGAATGCAGGAGAAACGCCAGGGGCGGGCGATGCTCCATGGCAGAAGTCTGAAGGGAAAAAACTCAACTGATGCTCAACCACGACGTGTCATCGAATGCCTATTCCCTGCAAAGCCCGAAGCCCTCAGCCTCTCAACTCCAAGTAATATTCAACCTCGACCGTTCGCCCTGGAATCCCACAAAACCTCAGAACGCCCCCGACTCGCTACTCGCTTGACAGGTGAAAGAAGGAGTGTTTCAGAACAATCTCCGGAGATTCTTGCGAAACGGCGTTTCAAGACGTGCAACTCAAACGGGTTCATGCGGGGCGGCAGCTTAAGCCATACCTGGCATCTTGCATGCATAAGTCGCCGGACCAGAGTCGCACGCAGAAGTCGGGGCCCATGACATCGGACATGCTCGGGCATGCTCGGACTCTCGGTCTACTGGAAGCGGCGAGGCTCGAAGCTTGGAGGCGCTCAGGGCTCCAACTTGGGCTTGAGAGAGTTTCGGGCTGAAAGTCTTGGCTTCGAGACATCGAGTCTCGGGCGCTTCGACTTTGGTGTCTCGGAGTTCTTTTTTGAAGGGAAAATCCCAGAATGTGAAACCCAGGGGCTGATTTGCGTTCTGGGGGGCCGCCTCGGGGCTTAGGGCTTCACAGAATGCTCTGCAGATTGTGAGTCTCGTTGTGGCTGAGGCGGGCGCCTACATGTCCCTTCCCTCACCGCTTCTTCGACTAATTTATTCCCTGTTTCCTTACTCAACATCTTGCTCAGAATCTTTTGCCAACTTACTCGGGATTCCCTGAGCGGTGCTTTCATTCTACCTCCGACCTTGGAACGTGCTTGGAACGTCCCCCCCTTCCGCGACCCCCACACCAACCCCGAGGTCCTGCAACCTTCCGGGGCCCCCAGCCGAGCTTGTTGTCGCGAAAGTTCAGGGTCAGCTCCTGGAGCTCCGCGAGTTGGCCGACAGCGCCGCCCAGCCAGCGGCCTCCCTCCACGCCTCGGAGAAATCTTTCACTGGGAGTTCCTGTAAGGAGCTCCTCGGCTTGGCAACTTCGGAGGGTGTGATAATGAGAAAAATCAGCTCAAAAGACTTGGTGGGCTTCAGGGGGCCGAAAGGGTCCGGGAGGTTTTCGAGGGACCGCGTTCAGGAGGGCTAGGACTTAGGAAACGAAAGGAGAAACAGGAGCACAGGGATGCCGTCGAGAAAATAAGAGGCTTGACATGTTGAAGACCTTCCTTTTTTCTAAGATGCCCAAAAAAGGGCACGGCATGACCCGGGCATTGGGATGGCCCGCGAAGTTCGCATGAACCAGCTCCCAATCCTTCCGAAAATGGCTGCAAGGGGGCCTCAATCCGACCCTCCCAAACCGGGAGCATGAACCTTGCAACGCTTACGTGGGCCTCACTTCAGGCTCCCGAAAGCCAACCTTTAAAATCCTTTAAAGAGGATGCCTTGCAAAAACCGGGCGGCTCTCCTCCCTGTTTTTGTTAAAAGAGCAGGTCTTCCGGGGCCCCCCGCCGAGCTCGTTCCCGCCAAAGTTCAGGGTCAGCTCCTGGAGCTCCGGGAGTTGGCCGACGGCGCCGCCCAGCCAGCGGCCTCCCTCCCGGCCTCGGAGAAATTAATCTTTCACTGGGAGTTACTGTAAGGAGCTCCTCGGCTTACAAACTTTGGAGGGGTCACGGGGCAAAAAACACGCTCAAGGACTTGGTGGGCTTCAGGGGGCCGAAAGGGTTCGGGAGGCTTCGAGAAAAAGAGCATATTGCATAAACGTTGTATTGCTTGCGTGGGCCCCACTGCATGCGGCATGGAGGTGCCATGATCGTACATTTTTAAAGCCTTCGCAGCCTCAGGCTTCTAAAGGCCAACCTTTAAAGAGCATGCCTTGCAACAAAACGGGCGGCTCTCCTGCCCTTCTTGTTTGAGGAGAGCTGCCTGAGCTGATGGCTCTGAGGCCCCGGGCCGACGGAGTTGTGCGGCAAGTTGAGGTTCAGCTGCTGCAGACGGGGTACCTTGCCCAAGCCGCCGGCGAGGTGCTGGCAGCCTGCGTCGCCTCGGCGCGCCGCGAGAGAGGCACGAGAACTTCCCCTCGCTTGGAGGCAAACAATGCAACATAACAGTTTGCCGGTACCAGGCTTTAAGATGGTGATTCTTGAGAGCTTGTGGGCTGCTTCGACACGGTGGGACATGCGTGGCCTGCGGGATAAAGTCAAGGGCGGGCGATGTCCATGGCAGGAATCCGTGGAGAAAAAACACAGTCAACAGAACTCAACCACATCAGGCACCCCCGAGTCCTTGTCATCGAGCGCCTAAAGCACCCAACTCAAGCATCCGCCCAAACTCCAAACAAGTGCCCCACAACATGCCGTTGCTGCTCACTGGACCAGTGGGAAGGCATCAAGAAAACACCTTCGGATTTTGCTTGTGAAGTGGCCGTAGATGTTCAACTTAATCGGGTTCGTGCGGGGCATCTGCCTCAGCCAGACCCGGAATCCTGAATAAGTGGCCGGACCAGGGTCGTGCAGCAGAGGAGGCCCATGAGTTCGGACATGATCCGACATGTTCGGAGTCTAGGTCAACCATGGCTGCGGTATGATGCAGTCTTGGTACGGTTGTCACGTAGAGGGCATACTACTCCCATTCTGGGTGGGCTCGCGGTTCGAGATCCGGCGTTGCGCGACGGGCCCCTTGAGTCTCACACTTTGCAGATTTGGAGTTTCGGGCTGAAGTCGGCCCGAGATCGGGCCCTTGCTTGGAAGCTCGGGATTGGAAGTCAGGTTGTAGGCACTCGCCGTCACGCTCTCCCCTACGCGGCCTTAGCCTATAGCGGATCTTTGCTGAGATGGGGCGATATCATGGGGCAGGGATTTGACTCCATGTAGGATGTGGGTGGACAACTGAAGGGACCATGCGACAGGCAGCCACAAACACGGCCACTGAACCGAAAAGCGCCGCTGCTAGCTCCACTTTTTGCACAACCCGATCCCAAAGCCCGCCCGATCAAGCGGATGCTCAAGCTCGACCATGATCCACGAAGCATCACTCGAAGCATCAGGCATTTGGCGGGCGCGAGGCTACTTCTCCACACCATTTCCGCTCTCTTGACTCCTCTCACCCATCCAAGCCTGCACAATGCCCTGCACCCTCCCTTATGTCTGTGCCACTCCAGGAGGAAGAGAGGTCATGAGAGGTCTCAATGATGTCGAAAGCTCAGCCCCGGGCCGAGCTCGGTGTTTTTCAGATTCAGGCTCAGCTCCTGAAGCTGCTGGCCGAAAGCACCGCGCAGGAAGCGGGCTCCGTCTGGGCCTCAGTAAACCCCGAAGCTTCCGTGCCATGGCCAACCAGATCCGAGGCTTCGGTATCAGGGACTCCTGAACTTCAAAATGTCGAACTTTAAAACGTTAATCAGAGCGAAAGGTCAACGCTCTGAAGCCATCATGATGGACTGTGCCCGGAGGATAAGAGATGCCGAGCCCACATGCCCGCACCCCGGCCATCCCGGTCCCATCTCCGGATTCCGAGGCAAGGGCCCATCCGCTCGTGCTCGAAGTCCAGCTCCAGCTCGTGTGCTCGCAGTAGCTGAGTCAGCCGTTGCTCCAGGTGCTCCCAGCTCTCGCCCCAGTACTCAGGGAAGGATCAGCGTCTGTCAGAGTTTAGTGTATGTATATATGTATATATTTATCTATACTGGAGCTGCTTGAGGCATGCGTGACCCTCACAGACGTCATGCAGACGCGCGTGCGATCGTGCGTGAAACTTGCGTTAAACAACCGTCACAGGCATCGCACGTTGACTGCAAGCCTTCATCAGACTCAGGAGCTCCACGTGGGGGTGGGACACGTCGCAGGCCACCTGCCGAGAGCTGCCGGTAGCTAGAAATCAAAAAGCACTGAATCGAGTATCAAGCATCAAGTTCATCGACTCCGCAGACGGTGCAGGGCAGGCGCAGGCAATGCGCAGGCGTCCCGCCTGCTCCTCCTGCATCGCCCTTGCTATTGCCAGCGCGGCCATGCCGATGTCGTTCTCGGAGAGATCCATCCGAGCCAGCGTCGTGTTCGACTGCAGTGCCTGCATCTGAGCTATTCTGAGCTGGTCCCCCCCAGCCACATCCCCCCTTCCCTCCTTCACGAACGTGTAGCTACACGACGAAACTCCCCCTCCGCTCCCGCAGCTGCGGCGAGCTGCGGCCCGCCTTCAGCAGCACAGAGGCGCCGTCCTGCGTGATCGCACTCCCCTGAAGGCTCAGCTGCGTCAGCGTCGCGTTCTGCATGAGCGCCTGCGATACACAGCACGACAGCACTGACAGAGCCTAGAATCAGTGTGAGAGAGAGAGAGAAGGAAAGAGAGAAAGAGAGAAAGAGAGAGAGAGAGAGAGAAAGACAGACAATTTCCGGATTCCGGACCACTGTCAGAGACCCTTCACGGCCTCCAGGTCCAACGCCACGCCCCAAGCACCGTCGTTGCTCAGCGTGAGCGCCGTGAGCGTCGAGCTGAGGCAAAACGCCTGTGCCACAACATTGCACTTTGCATTTTGGGGGCTTCAGGGCATGTCGAGGCTGTAAAGGGGGGTGGACGAAGGCCGGCTGCAGGGCTCAGGCTGAACTCTGGCTGAACTGCACGCTACGCTGGATACATCTCCTCCTACACTGCCACTCTTCGGCAGGCTGCCATAGTCCACGTGTGGTTCCCACAACCCAAAAAAAGGCGACTGCACAGGGGCCTCCGCGAGCTGGCGGGCGCCTTCCTCAATCAGGTTCACGCCGTCCAGCTCTAGCTTCGCCAGCGCCTTCGTTTCCAGGACCTGCCAAAAAAAGGGGCGGGGGAGGCACCACACGGGAAGCTCTGAACCCGCCCAGAACCCTGAAGAGCTGCCAATGCTCATGCTCGCTCATCGCTCATGCTCGCCTGAAGCAGCTGCGGAAGGTTGGGTGTGAGGGCGCTGCGCACGATGGCCAAACTCCTGAGGAGGGGGGGGGGGGGGGGGGGGGGGGGGGGGGAGGGGGGAGAAGAAAAAAAGCAAAAAAAGGAGGCCCAAACAGAGAGACAACGGATACGAAAAGTAGTCATGCACTGCTTGCCTGGCGAGGCTCTCCAGCTGCGGGTACCGGTCCAGAGACCTCAGCCCTACGGCTAAGGCATCGGCGCTGAGATTTGAAAGCTTGAGCGCTTTGCAGCTCGCCGCCTTCTCTTCAAAAACGCGCCTCTGCAATTGCATTACTGCGTCGGCGTCGCTCCGATGGGTGAATTTCAGACGGTCCCCTACGGTGGCTCGGAAGGTGTCGGGGTCCATCGGGGCGACGCCCGCCTGGTCGGACTCAGAGCTGTCCACCTCTTGCGACCGGTTGCTTTCGGATCGCGTGGAGGACCACTGGAGTTCGGCAACACACCACCCCCGCTGGTGGTACGCGGTGCGGTTTTGAATCAGGTCAGCCGCCAATACCGGCTTGACGTGACCGCTGCGGAGGTCGTAGACCTCAACGAGCTCTCCGTGACACCATGCATCCTTAATTCGCCCCTCGGGGGTGAGGCTCTCGATGCGCAACGTATGAGTGTGCTCATGCGCATAAAGAACGTGCATGTTTTTCATGGCGCGCCTGAAGCTCTCTTCCTGCGTTTCGTCGAGCCTCTTAAACTGGAAAAGTGAGACGTAGTCCACGAACAAGCAATCCTGCCCCCGCAGCTTCCCTGACGTCGCAAGCTTTTGCAACTGGAAGCCGTAGGGGTCAGGATGCTCGCGCGCCTCCCAAACATGTGAAACGGACACGATCCTCCCGATCTCAGTCTTCTCTCCCCTCGCCCAGCCCAGGACCTCGCCAGCAAAGAGGCGGAAACTACGAGGAGACAGCGGCTGTGTGGTTCCAATGGTCTCACATATCTGCTTAGATGCCCCCCGCGCCTCCTCGTGCGTGGCCAGTGCGGTGCGGACCCCGTCGCCCACCCGGACGTGGGCGGACTCGGCCTCCTGGCGCCGAGGGAGGCGCCGGCCTGCGCAATGCCACGAAAAGAATTAAGGGCAAGTAAAGAGAGGAAAGCACAAAGCAAAGAGGTGAGGAGGCGGGGGCGACGACCTTCGCGGTGGAGTTTTTGCAGGAACTCGACGCGCACCTCGGCGGGCCACCGGTGCCCGGAAGCTGTACCCCAGCTGCCGAGGGCTCTCTCTGATTTCAGAAGGGGGGACAAGGGCTTTGCTCCAATGATCCGCGGCACCAGGCGGACGTTCGCCTTCTCCAGGAACTGCGCCAGCTGCATCTTGTCCTCGAGGTCGTACTTGTCCGGCACCAGCGCCTAGTCACGGCGACTCTGCCCCCTGTCCCGTGGAGAGCTGCATTTGGAAGGGGGAGCCCGGGGCCTCCTCAACCTCCTTCGCCTCGCTGGCCGGGCTTGGGCCCAAGCAGCGCGCCAGGGTCTGGAGGCTCAGCGCACCTCGGATTGTGGAAAAAGACTCCGAATCTAGTGTACACGTCTACATGACGTGTAGCATATAACTAGTTTCTCATTTTTCATTTTTCTTCTGAGGCCCCAAAACACGGGATGTGATGTGGGATGAGGTGGGCGACTGGGCGCCCAGCTGTCGGCAAGGGCTCCTTGCAAGTGGGCCTGGGAGTTTTTAGGACAGGAGCGGCGATGGGCCACGCGCAATGATCGCTTGGCTCGCGCCTGAAGCTCCTCCGTGGTGACGTTGCTGCCTCACGTGACCCATGCACATGGTCAGATGAGTCCGATCGGCATGGCATGTCTCTCCTCTGTACAGCCCTGCACAACCCCTACGCAGACCAGCTCCCCGCCTTGAAGGCCCCGAAGGATGCTGCAGATCCGGGCGTCCGTGGAGATCCGCTCCTTCGCCGGGTCGTTTGCCGGCGGGTCGACCTGGCAATTTCAAGCTCGTTTCCCGAAGCAGCCCCACCACATGCCACATTCAGACACTTGGCTTTTGGGAGGTGCAAGGAAGTGATCATCAGACTTGCACAATATAACTTCTGTAAATCGGAGGCGTTCCGAAGATGCCTGCTTTCTCCAAGGCTTCGCTACGTACGCGACACACCTGTCATGGTCCGTGACACAATCCCTCTCCCCAGCGGCACCAAGGGGATCTCGGCGGTCATCAGCAAATCTGCCAGCTGCTTCTTGAAGCTCAGGCTATGGTGCTTCACCTGACACAGATGCCGCTGAGTCCAGGTGAGAGCACCATGCACGTGATATGTGCTCGCATGCAACTTCTTTCATTCAGAGTCTTCATGTCACCTAAATCTGAAACCGAACTGAAACAGCATGCCTTTTTGAGAACTACGTACGAGCACTGTACGAGCCCTATGAAGGCTCCAAGCCCAAAACTGACGCCCGGCTCACCAAGCCCCCACCCCTCCTCCGCAGCAGCTGCAGCACTCTCAGCCTCAGGCAGGCTCAGCGGCTACCGGCCTTTTGTACCGCTAAGGGGCCTTCAGCACCCCCTGTGATCCTGCGTCTTCGAGACCTGCGACCTGTCACGTGTGTGCGCTTGTGTGCTTGGGGCCCCCTGCGGCCAGCCGGCCCCGCAGCATCGCGAGCTCCTGGGGTATTGACGGCATTGAGGCGCAGCACACAGCATGGGTCCGGCCCTTGCAAAGCAAGCACTCATGATCCTGTATCTCTATCATTGTCGCGAAGGGTTATTCAACCGCACCATGGGCTGTCCGAGGTCTCCTCCTTCAGGGCCGCATTCTTGCGGCGCAGCGACTGGGCGCCGGCGCCCGGCACCCCAGAGCGGCCGCGGAGCCAGGCCAGCATGAAGCTCTCCGGGACCTGGCAGTTTCGAGGTGGGAGCATGTCCCCTCAAACAACTTCGGGGCTTTCCGCGGGACACACGTGTGGAATCACGCAGGCACTTCCGGCCTCGGGCATCTCGTCGAGAAGAGCGCTCAGCAGCTCCGTGGTGACGGGGGTCAGCGTCTCCGCGATGTAGCGCTGCACTGTGGGCCCGGCATCGGAGCCCGGGTCGGAGCTGCTGGCCATGGGATCCATCGGAGCTGCAAGGTGCAACTTTCAGATACACAAGCTGCCAGGAAAAGAGAGCTGTTGAACTCAGAAACTCTTCCACCTTCAGCTGCCAAGTATGTTGAGAGCTCCGCGCGCAGTACTGGTGTGAAACCTCCTTCTGCAGGGCCTTCTACATGTAGTATGTGGTACAGTTGTTAATACCTCTAAAACACAATATTGCTTTGTTTTTTTGCACATATATATATATATATATATACTGTCGATGCCCTGATCTCTTGTGCGGCAAGCTCCTTGAATCCTGGGGCTCAGAGCCTTGAGGCGCCGGTCCGGTGGTGTGGGCAGTGGGCATCTGTTGCAAGGGCCAGAAGGGAGGGATTCGAGGGGACTTCAGGGGGTGGGGGGTTCGTAGAGCTTGGGGCCCCTTGCTTCGATAAGAGGCGGCTGGGAGGGGGGGGGTCCCTTTTAGAGCTGCTCCCGGCAGCTCTACGTGCGACAAAGCTGGTGGGACAGAACATTTTAACACTTCCACTCCAGGCCCCCTCGGCCTTCTTTTGCAGCGCGGCGTAACAGTCTCGCGCGGGCGGCTTTGAAGAGAAAGGTGAAACCTTCAGCTCGAATCTCAAGCCCGCTTCTCTATGTGTGCCCGTGTTCCCACAAATGCCGCAACGTGCCACGACCCAACAGAAACCGGAGAGCCCTCCCATCGCCCTACAACGTGTCCGGCTGCCACCTCAAGTGGCATCTGCGCGTGCTGGTGACCGTGCCCTTCAATGCCTCTGTATTCAGCAGGCGGGCACCTCCTCTTGATCCGACACTCTGACTGCTGTTCTGCCATGCGATTCCTCGCAGGCAGTCTCCAGCGCCAGCGGTAACGTGTGCGGCGGGCCCTCACTCCAGATCTGCCGCCAAAGCTTCCTGGCAACATTGTTGGAAGCAGACCTTGGCTCTGCAACTGCCTTCGAAGGTGGCTTGAGGCTTCGGGGTCCGACCTTCAATACAAGCTTTCATGTCCCCCTTTCCAAGAAGCCCAAACTGGGAGGACTTGTTGCAGAGGGTGTGATTGGTTGCGCGGGTGGTGGTTTCAGGGCAGGGCCAGCTTATGGGGATGATAGGGGCTTTGGAATTTGCATGATTACGGAGCGTACAGGGGACCTCAGCTTCGTTGAAGCCGCAGGCCTCTACAAACCTAGGACTGGAAGGAGTCTGGGCGGAAAAGCACTCCAAGTCCCCATGTCTGCCTGAACCGAGCGCAACGCCCGGCGGACGGGCAGCATGCCTTGGCGGTTTGGAAGGCCTTCTGGAATCCCCACATGGAGGCCAATCATCAAGTAGGAAGGGTCTCATTTTCCGAGCAGATTGTTCAACCGAACACCCCAAAGTCCAAGGCCCCGGGCCGAGTTGGCGAGTCATCGTTCAACGCTCAGCGGCCCCAGCATCTCCAGCTCAGCCTCCGGGCCTTGGAGAGGGAAACCCGTGCGCGCGCAGCGCGTGAGATCCCCGCGGCCGCACCAACGGTTGGAGCACGCATACTTGGGACGGTTGCTGCAGCGGCGCCTTCTTAGGGGAGGAGGTTGGCCCCCCCCCCCCGAAAAATCTTTTGGAGAAGGCGTGGATCCCCGACAACGCGCCGGCAACCGGAAGCTTCACCAAGGATTATTCGGTGACTTGTTGGTGATTCTTTTTGTTTTTTGACTATTGGACAGGAAACCCTTCTTGTGTGGGTAGAGGCCATCACAAGCCTATGCTCCGCTGTTCGCCGCTGTTCGCCACACGAACCAAAGCCCCTAACCGAAAGGGAAGCTTCCGAATCCAGTCTTGGAGGTACACAGGCTACACGACCCTAACCCTAAACCCAACACTCTGAAGTTCTTGCTCTATGGCTCTATGCTTGGAAGGTCACAGTTCCACCCATGCCTCGCATGACTGACCTGACCCCACCTCCGACTTGAGGGTACCAGGGGCAGGCATGCACTGCGTTCCTGAGGATGATCTCCTCCAGAACCTGGCTGCCGTTCGTGGCGTTGGCTCCCTCAAAGTGCGCACAAAGTCTTCATTGCCAGCACCGGCGAGATCGAGATCAAGAGCACGGCGAGCACGACTTGCTTGATTTGTCTTAAGGATTTCGCAGGATGCAAGTCACGAATCACGTGGGGAAGTCGAGAGCACGGATGCTGTGTGGCCCGTGACCACAGCACTTGAGCCACGAAAACGAGGAAACGGAACCAGCACGCTTCGGCAATCATTCGGGTCTCTGCTCCCAGGGGTCGAAATCCCCCATGAATCCCAAAAGCTGCCCAAAGCCGCCCAAAGCCCCCCAAAGCTGCCCAAAACCTGACTTCGAAACCCAAAGCATTTCCCACAACCGAAACTCATCTTCATGCACACCCTTCCTACCAACTGCCGATCTTTGGTTTGAGCGCGTGTGTTAAGGCATACAGGGCGTAGACTCGGGCTCAAGATCCGGGTTCGCAGCATTCAGAGATCTGCCAGTTGCCGCATCACCTGCCCAAGCAGTGGCCGGGGCTCAGGCTTTCGAGTTGAAAAGGTGGCATTCACAATGCTTCGGGCTTACAAATCCTAGACACGAAACCCGAAACCCTGTTGCAACTGGCCAGCATTGTTGAACAACTCTCCGTCATTGAAAACGATCCTAGCAACAAAGCCTAACCGAGGAGCCCTGCGCACCTAGTAGGCACGACAGCACCGGCATCCGAGGATGCCTTGCACGTGGGGTTCAGGGTTTAGGGTTTAGGGTTTAGGGTTTAGGGTTTAGGGTTTAGGGTTTAGGGTTTAGGGTTTAGGGTTTAGGGTTTAGGGTTTAGGGTTTAGGGTTCAAGTGCATTCCACCGGCTCACCAGACACAAACAAGGTTTGGGCATTGTGTTTTTTGCAACCCTGCAAATATCCGCCTCGTGAAGCCACCAATCTTCAAGTAGTAAGACCCCAACCCTCAAGACCCCTACACCCCATGACCCCCAGATAAGTACGGAGTCGTACTCAGGCATGTGCAGCCTAAACGCTAATCCAGACCTCCCTGCAGGAACCTAAGGCAAGGAGAAGGCATTTCATGCTCAGATCGCGGCTTGCTCTACCAAACAAGCCCAAACCCACTTCCTCCGAACCACCAATTGCTTGACAGACCAGCACTCACAGGCGGGTCCAGCCGGTTGCCGTCCAGGCCCACTATCAGTGTATCACATGCTGGATTTGCTTTCGCATCGTGGGCTTCTCTTTTGCGCAGAGAGGTTCGAGCATTCCGTGCATTCCGTGCCGTTCCAAGCTGGCTGGGCCTGCTCCCAGTCCCCATAATAATAAGAAATAGCAACAAATAGTTTAAACACACTAATAGTAGTAGTGATGATAATCATAATAATCATATTCATAGTAATAATAATAATCATAATCATAATAATAATAATCATAATCATAATAATAATAATAATAATCATAATAATATAAATAATCATAATAAGAAGAAGAAGAAGCAGGCGTTCTGAAGTTACCCGTATTGCAGGCGCACCTCCAAGACCTCAAACTGGGCCGCTTGGCCGAAGGCGCCCTTTGGACCTGGGGCTGAGGAACGTCGTCTGCGGAACTCTTAGGGTTTAGGGTTTAGGGTTTAGGGTTTAGGGTTTAGGGCTTAGGGCTTAGGGCTTAGGGCTTAGGGCTTAGGGCTTAGGGCTTAGGGCTTAGGGCTTAGGGTTTAGGGTTTAGGGCTCAGGGTTTAGGGTTTAGGGTTTAAGGTAGGCAAAAAGCTCACGCAACACGCAACAAGACAGAGTGGGTCATCATGGTCGACAGCTGACGCATCGTGCTCCAACATGTTTTGGGAGTGTTTGGGAGCTGGTGAGGGCTCTTTCTGGTGACAAGAAGGGCAACCTGAAGGCCCACGCACCGGCAGTAGGGTGGACGGCTGTGGGGGGGGGGGGGGGGGGCTTGGAAAGCTCTTTGACCGCCTTGGGTTTGCAGAGCTGGCCATGAAGCTCCATGTTAGGGTTTAGGGTTTAGGGTTTAGGGTTTAGGGTTTAGGGTTTAGGGTTTAGGGTTTAGGGTTTAGGGTTTAGGGTTTAGGGTTTAGGGTTTAGGGTTCCCACACCAACCCCCAGGTCCGGCGAGCTGCTTTGAAAGGCCCGGAGCTCCCTTCCGGGCCCCCAGCCGAGCTTGCTCTCCAAAAAGTCCAGGCTCAGCTCCTGGAGCTCCGAACGAGGGCGCAGACCCCAAAACTGCACTAAAAGGCGTTCTGAGACTCAAAAGGCCTGCATGAAAGGGTTTGCAACGGGTTTCGGAGTTCGGCATCCCGCGCCCGCCATTTTGTGGACGTGCTGTATAAAGCCGGTGTTTCTGCCATTGACCTACGTGCTTGTTGCGTCTTTTGTGCGTTCAAACGGGCGGGGGGGGGGGGGGGGGGAAGTTCGCCGCCCTTTTATTTGCGAAGATGTCCAGCTAAAGATTGGCCTTCAGAAGGCAACACATATTTTTTTTGGTACGATGAAGCACGTCCATGCCACACACACAGAGCAATAAAGGCCCGCCCTGGGGCCATCCCAAGTGCCGGGGTCATACATTCCCTGCACGCCGGGTCCGGGCCTCGTTACATGCCTTTTGGGTCCTTTCAGGGTCTGAAGCATGCCAGAAGGCTCTTTTTTGCTCCATGGCTTCCTTTCTTTTCGTTGAGCAATCCCAGCACTCCTCAGCTACCTGATCCTCTAAACCCTCGAAACCTTGCGAAATCTTTCGGCCCCGGAAGTATCACGCCCTTCAACCTTGTAGAAGCCGAGAAAAGGACGAGAAAAGGACCTAACTTCTTGCTCGGAGGCCCCGACAGAGGCTGCTGGCTGGGCGGTGCCTACGGCCACCTGGACGCGCATGGGTGTAGGGTTTAGGGGTTTAGGGTTTAGGGGTTTAGGGTTTAGGGTTCAGGGTCCTACTAGACGAGCAGGAATGGGTCACAACAACACGCTCCGAACCTTCTTGACCTGCACACCTGGTATTTCCCCCATGAACCTTATCAATCTTAGACCTTCTAGACCCTAAGGCTGAAACCCCTGAACCCTGAACCCTAAACCCTAAACCCTAAACCCTGAACCCTGAACCCTCAACTCTAAAACCCCAAGCCACAAAGCCTGACCCTTTCACGGAGTTTGAGCCCTCGGCTCGGTGAGGGCGCACACTATTATAACGGGTTTAGGGTTTAGGGGTTAGAGTTTAGGGTTGAGGGTTTAGGGTGTAGATGCCTGCTCTAAGTGCTGTACTGGTAAGTTCCACGGAACTTCCTCCGTGGCTGCTCGGCCTAGCCACGGGCCGTATGCATCGTTTCGTGCGCATCAGCACGCGTTCTGAGCACAGACACTGCACATACACGCACTACACCTCACGATGCCCATACCGGAATGTATGCAATTCCCGACATACCACGAACGTCAAGTGCAATACGAGATACATCAAGTACTCAAGACACCCAACATCGGCATATGCATCATGAGATGTCGTGAATAGTCTACTTGACCCATGGGAGTGGAAAGTGGCAAATGCCTGCTGCGGCCACTGCCAATTTCACAGCAGCTCTTTTTGAAGTCGGCCGGAAAATGTTGCATCCTGCGCTCGCTTTCACGGATGCAGGCCAGTATGTAACGTAAAACCCAGTTGAGCAGTAGCTTGCTTCTGCCACGTTTGGTGACAGGTGCGCTACTGGAGGCTGCGCGCAGTGGCGCAGGAAGAATGGATGTTCATACAACGCGGCGTCGTGGCGCCTTTAGCGCCCTTGCCGCGTTGATATAGAGACATGAGTGGAAATGATGCGCTAAATAAACTCTTCGAGCGAAGATTCAGGGCAAGGGGCTTAACATGGTTTAACTCAGGTTCAGCTGGATTCAAGAGTGTCTAGTTGAGTTCGAACGATCCAGTTTTTCAGCTTGACGTGACGGTGGACGGCGAGATGGCTTGCCGGATCAAGGTCGATCAGGTTCATCACAACTGCACCTTTGCTCGTTGTGTATTCTTTTGCTTCTGCAGCGTCTCGGGCACGCACCCCAGAACCCAAAGTAGCCCGAGCAAGCCTGTGGCACCTGACATGAAATGCACAGACAAATGAGCTAGCTAAGGCTGACCCCAAGTAGACTTACATTGCCTGTTGGAAGATGCATGAGAGGGCCTTCTAAAGCAACTGTTTGCCATCCCAGCCCACCTGCTGCAAGCTCCGCAGCGTGCAGCGAGACCGTGGCCGTGATAATGCAGAGTAAGGCTGGGGTGATGAACTCCATGCTGTTGTAAACCAGCCGATACACTGCCAGAAATGCACCCCGTCCATCACCCGATGGGGCGAGGTCTGCCCCGATGGTCATGAGCAACCCGGCGCTGAGGCCGTTCCCCAAACCAGTAAGGCTACCAAAGGCGATGAAGGCCTCCGCCGTGTCGAATGTGAGAAGCCCAATCCCGAGGGACTGCGGCACCAAGCACGCCGCACCGACACGGCGCCGTCCGTACGAGTCCATGAACTGTCCAGCCAATGGAGAGACAAGCATGTCCACCAAGAATGACCAGCCGGCGACCTGCCCAATGAACACGTCGGAAAAGCCTGCCTGTCGGCCGGCAAGGGGGAAAAAGAACTCTCTGCCCTTCCGGACGCACTGCACTGCGCAAGCAAAACACAGCACGCGCAGAAGGCGGCCGCTGTTTTGCAGGACGGCATCTTTGGCCTGAAGCACGCCACTGCTCTCACTCCGGATCGGGGTGAGGGCCTCTTCCATGGCCTCTTCTTTCTCGCCCAGAAAGAAGCTCACCAGGGCCGCAAGGATGCCGCAAGCCAGCTGCGCAACGAAGACTGCACGTATGCCAAGGTTTCCCTGTAGGAGGGAGCCCAAAGAGGGCCCCAGAGCTAGGGCCAAGCTGGCCAGGGTTCCCATGATGCTGAGTGCGAAGCCTCGGCGCTCTGAAGGAACGGTGCCGGAGATGAAGGTCTGCTGCGCCAGCGCGCTCAGTGAGTTTGCCAACCCCAGCAGGAATTGCGAGACCATGAGCATCCTCACATCCTCCACAAAGCAAATGCCGGTTGAAAGGAGAAAGCACGCGCAGGCCAGCAGCAGAGTGCGCTTGGCACCCATACATGGCAGGAGAAATCCTCCGGGGACGTTCGCCATCATGTAGCCTATGCCGTAGAAAGATACCAGCAACCCAACTTCTGCCGTGCTGCCACCCAGGTCCAGAACATGAAGAGGGACAGGGACAGAAACCAAACCACGAATCATTCGACAGAGGAGGCAGGTGCTGTACACAGGCACAAGCATTCCCAGGATCTGCCGCGAAGTCTGCATTTGCCGCACCTCCGCCTCCATGATTGCTGGCTCCACAAGTAGCTCCACATCATCTTCCCGCTTCGACTCGGACATGGCTACGCTGGCAAGCTCATACATCTCTGAGCCGCCACGTTGCAACATGTCTCCTTCGCTCCGGACAAGACAAGGAATGGCATGACAAGCAGATCGAGTGACATAAAACCTACAGAAAGGCCCGATTACGAAGTAGTCAACAAAGGACCAGAATACTCATAGCATGAAAACCTAAGCATTGCTATTCGCTGTGTTTTGCCTCTCTGTGCAACATACTGTAGAAACAACACAGCAACCCCAAACACTAACTTCCACCCAAGCACGGTACAGAGCAAGGCCAAACATGATGTAGCATTAAAGCACAGCTTGCATCCCCCAAGCCGCAAGAACAGGCGCGCACCAACCGCGAGAGAACGAGCATGTTGTTCGAAACATTTTTCGAGATTTACTGACTGAAGAAAGGAACAAGACCAGCGTTTTACCTATACGAAACGCATGCTTCAGGGGGAAACACACAGCGTACAGTTTCAGGAGCGGCAGGATATTTATGTACAATAGTACGACGGACAGTCGCAACACTATTAACGCATAAAGAACAGAGCAACACTAGTTTTAGTTTAGCAACAGAAACAAAAAATGAGATCACAACAGTCTTAGAATACTAAGAATAGAGTACCAAGAAAGGTGCAAAAAGCGCAAGTCCATCTCTCCCGGAGCCTTCGAGGTGATCCGCTCTTCAATCATTTCACCTGTGCCCAAAAAAACCAACAAAAGCAAACCCAACCCTCCCCCGCCCTCCCCCAGCCTCTGCACCACCCCCCCCCCCCCACGCTGCCTCCCACCCACCCAGCGATCCGATACCTGAAAAAAAACAAAACTTTATCCTTGCGTTTCAAGAAGGGCGCCTCTCCTCCCCCCTTTTAGTTGAGGGCCTTGGCCGAGCCAGGTCAGCTTGCCCAAACCGCCGGCGAGGTGCGCGCAGCCTGTGTCGCCTCGGGCCCACACGCGAACTGAAACGAACGCGGACGTCAAACTCCGAGCCCCTTGCCACTTTTGCAAACCCTGTCAATGCGGGCCTCTTGAGTCTCAGAGCCGATGTTTTTAGGTATGGAATTTAGGCAGAGCCCCCATGCCGCCCGTTGGTGAGCCCCACAACTGCCGCCCGTTGGTACCATACCCGTTTGACAGGTCGGAACGCGTCAGGAAACAAACCTTCCGAGTTTTGCACCCGGTGGACTGGCCCGGGGCCTTACTACATACCTGGCTTGCTCTAGGGCGGGCTCGCGATCGATGTGATCTGAGGATCTCGAGTCCGGGCCTCGGTTTCTTTTCGGCGTCTCGGGCCTATAGGGCTCCGGCTCGGGAGTCTCAGGACCTTTGTAGGGCTCCAACATTCCAGAGGGATCCTCTGCTCCAGGGTCCTGGTAGGAATAACAAGATCTAGGGCGTGCTATGATGTGTTACAGGTACCCACGATTTCTGCAGCTCCGGCACCCTTGTGCAAATTGCGTGGGGGGGTCCAGTGCTTAGGGCTTGGGGCTTAGGGCTTAGGGTCTAGGGTTTAGGGTTTAGGGTTTAGGGTTTAGGAGTTTAGGGTCTTTTTCTTCATGCTTTTTAAAACCTTGGTAAGCTGCTCAGCGAATATTTCAGAACGACCCACAGGGCTGCGGGGGGGGCGGGGGGGGGAAAGGAAGAGAAGGCATCCTGACTTCATGTACGGTGTGAGTGCACAACTGATGGCATGATGTGACAAGCAGCCACAAACACAGCAACTGAAGGGTTTAGGGTTTAGGGTTTAGGGTTTAGGGTTTAGGGTTTAGGGAGTTTAGGGAGTTTAGGGTTTAGGATTTAGGGTTTAGGGTTTAGGGTTTAGGGTTTAGGGTTTAAGGTAACGCTTTTTCTGCAACCAAATCCTCGCGCCGCCCTCAGACGTAGGGATGGTGGGACTATTTTGAGGTCGGGGCTGTTGATCCCTGAACGTTCCTGTATAGAAGGGTTGTTCAAGCTCTTCAGCGTCCGTTTTGAGGCCACAAACTGGTGAAGCTGGCTCGGACACAAGAAGCCGGAAAAGTGAGTCCAATAAACCACGGATACAATGGAAACCCTAGACTCAGCAAATCAGGCGGCACCGCAAACGCAAGACTTGTAAATTTTGAAGTAGGACAGCGGGTGGCCGTGGGTTTCTTTGATGGTTGTCACAGAGCAACGAGATATCAGTAATGAGGAATCATGAGGACAAACAACACGACAAGGATCTGCGAAAAAGCAGACTCAGTTTCCAGGGAGCCCTGCCATTATATACATCAGGAACAGCACGGAAGAGCCTCCTGCTGGTCCAGCTGGATGTATGATGGTTGTAGTGGGTTGCCAAGGGGTGAAAACACTGATGATGAACAACAATCATCTAGCAGCGGCGCGGACGACAAAGACAAAGAGAATCAAGACTGTACACGAGTGTGGGATGTCATGAAGAGCGACATGAAACATATTGCTTTTGCGACATGTGACATACTAGTTGGCCTATCATATGATACACAGCACTATGTAAACTTCTCATCCAAGGGGTTGCTCAAAGGTACAGAAAGAACTGATGAGATGTGTATTCAGCGTAGCCGCACTGCAGGCCCCTCAAACAATGCAAGCTCCAAGCCTCTGCAGGAGATCTCCATGGCCCGTGGCACAGACCCAGCCTGCTGCAAAAGCGCATGTTGCCTACAACTCTGATGGAAGCCTGTGCCGTCAGAGTGCAGGGCCTTGCTGTCAAGATGCAATCCATCCAAGGCGAAGCCCATGAGGACTCGAAAAAAGTCGCTTCACCCTGCGGTCTGGAGGTCCTGGGCTACAATGAGTAGACCCCAACGACTCATTAAGAGCCAACACATACATTTGCTCCTCAACATAGCACAAAGAAGCGCGCAAGGCTGTTTGCCCAAACAGGCAAGTTTCACTGCAAGACGGCCTTCATCCCCAGCTCATTGGAGCGGGATTCGCCCTCCTGCCCCAAATACGAAGGTTGCCAATGCTCTTCATGGCTTGGGCCTTGCCTGATACACTGATACTGGTTTCAATCCTGCCCCTCCCCAAACAAGTTGGAAAGTCCAACCCACTTGAAGAGTGTTGCTGCTGGCATTTCAGGACTCAACGGTGGATTACGGTTCAGAACTGCGTGAAAAGCACCAGCAAGGAACATGCTTGGGGACCAAAAAATGGCTCGCTGGAAAGCAACCCTTCCAAGTCATAGTATCAATCACGTACACTGGCTGATGAAGCCTCCAAAAAAGTTCCTGAACATTGTGGCTTGATCCTCTTCGACAACCCAATAAACAGGGAATTTAGAAACTTCGGAACCAAGAGCCTGCCCTCCAAACGAATGATCCCCCTCCGCTTGGCCTTACGTGTGCTCAGCTTGATCTGTGTCGGTTGGCAGCGGACATCTACAAAGCTGCTGCCACTTTCAATGACCTCGTCAGCATGCCCTGTAAACTGCTCACAGGTACTCATGCTCTTCGCCAGGTGGGCCAGCTTTGTTGTGGGCAGTTGCGAGGGAAATACATGGAAATACTACTCCAAAACAGAGAAGGCTTGACTCCGTCCTCCACGCGCAGACACGGCTCCGGAGCACAGGCACCTCTGCAATCTCCTGAGCAAGGCAGTGGCACAAGCGGAAGGCGTGGAGCGGTCGTGTGCACCGTCAGACTCCTCATACATGGGTGCAATATGGGGGGAGGGGGGGGGAGCAGCAAGCATCAAGGGACCGAAGCCTGTAAAGTTCCCAAAGCTTAACAAGGGGCTGAGGGAAGGCCTTTGCAAACACTCAGGACTGGTCCTTGGGATGAACCCGGGATGATCACCTCAGAACATTCAGAACACAGGACAGCAGCCAGCACATTGGAGCGCTCACAGATCCGCATGCAACTTTGCAGTCGATGTAGCGGAGCTACTTTGATCAATCGCATCTTACAAGGGCCTGACCATGGGCAGACTCAGACGAAGGTGCTGCAACACAGTGCTATCACACCGCCAGCTGTGCGATTCTACATGAGTCTGGGCGTGTCAATCCATTGTGCGATAATGCATGATTCTGTGCGCGTCAATCCAGGGAAGCAGGCTTGCAATATCTTGTCGCGTATCTGTCCGCAACTGCTGGATTGAAGCAGGGCTTAAGCCAAAACACTAGGTTTCGTCATGGGCGGCAACCCCGCAGAAAACACCAACCTCGCAGCCGAAGGAAGTGACTAGACAAATTGTGCCCGGGGAGGAAGATGGTGCAACTGCATCATGCAACGTGGATCCACGTCCTGCGCTAGAGATCCTCCTGACTGGAATACTCTTCCAAGCTGTCCTAAGCTCAAACTGAAGACCTATAGCCCCGTTCACATCGCCTGACCGGACGGCTTCCTTCCCGCCCTTCAAGTCCACGACTTCAGGGCTACGTCCCAGACATGTGGGTCCGCCAGGCTGAAAAGGTTGCTGTATGCGTTCTCAACGCCCTGCTACTGTGTGGGCCACATTCACACCGAGCGAGTGCCCGCTCAACATCACGGGGGAAACGTCTGCTCGAGGCATGAATCCAAGAGTGGCATATATCAAAGCAGCGAACATTGCAAACCGTAGGGCAACCTCGATGGACGCGACCCAACCACTGACGCTGGCTGCAGACGCTACGGGGAACATGGCCGCCAATGGCAAATGTAACGTTTCTGGACAGGTCGCCGCTCGAGCTTCTCCCAAAAACAAGACACCAGCAATGACATCCGCACTTGTGGAACACCGTCCTCGCATCGTTGTCAGGATATTTTGTAGGACTGGATGATGCAATCATGTCATCCAGTGGAAATACGTCTACAAAGCCATGTGGCATGATTGCCTCCCTACTTCTGAAGGCGGCGCGAAACAACATCACCAAAGGAGTGCTGAATCGTGACAACGCCACTCCTACGTCTGAGGCTGGCGCGCAAAATGAGTCCTACAAAGACCGCCCTGCCGAGCGCAGGCGGGCACAGCTGACCCAGAACTAAGCCACGGCAACGTATCTTCCATTCCTTCCATGCGGCAGTAGTGCTGTTTCCGTCACTGTCCAGATCTCATGGCGCAAGCTGCAGCACGGACGGACGAGAAGGGCAGCATGACCGGTCAGCAGCTGCCACCTATTTGGAGGTCCTGACTGCCGAGATGTCGGAGGCGGCAAGTCATCCCAGCGAAGCCTGAAGCGCACGGAAAGCAAGCCGGGCGGTAGGAGAGCCGCAAGGAGGCATCGATCACGAGCATGAGCAGCTCTTAAATTATGCAGAGGTGGGACTCAGAGTGGCATACACCTTCACTGTCACATCTTGTGTAACCGGCCCGCGGAGGGCTTGAGGACTCGAGAGGCTCCAAAGACACGGTGAGGGCTTGTGATACGGAACTCTTCTCGAAGGACCTGAATCCATGGCCGCCTCGCCTCCAGGACCGCAGCCAACTGCATTGAAGGAAGGTTCGCCTTCCTTGCTTCAGGAGCCTTCGGACCAGGGACAAAAGGGAACACAATGCACAGGGCATCTAGCTGCACAGCTGGAGAAGTTAAGGACCAAACAGAAGACCTCAAACGAACATTGCAAGCCTCAGAACCGGCAAGATGGCGCCGACTCTGCAGTCGTCGGCAGCACCCTCGAAGCAGATCTCGGCAAGGGGGGTTTAATCCCCAGTGCTGCAATCGATTGTACAGACATGCACTTCACTCCCACGATGCACCCACGGCGGCGACAAAACTGGAGCTCAGCGGTGCAGTAAGAGAAGCAGCAGGGTGGCCATCCACCCGAGCCGTGAAACTGCACAGTGGCAATCTTGCAGTTCTGGGTTTCGGGTGTAGGATTCAGGCGCTTTCATTGCCCCGCGACCGGCAGAACGTGGCAGAGACCCATATCATTGATTGCCATCCCGGCTAGTTCTCCCAAGACTGAAAAACTAAAGCCCTAAATTCCCCTTGAAATCCCAAGCCCTAAACCCTCCAACCCTCCAAGCCCTAGACCCTACGCCCTAAAGGCCGTAAACGCACCCTAAACATTGTTGCATGCGTTGATGACGGCAGCCAGAACCTCGAAGTGCCGAACTGAGGTCCAGAACCGCTTCGATTCAATGTGAATGATGACTGCCACACATGAGCACCGTTGAATGTATGTGAGAAACCTCCAGCCCTGCTTCTGAGGGTGAAGGAAAACGGAAGGACACACCAGCCACTACGTATCTCGGCAGGGGTTGATCCCCAGTGCTGCAAGCAATCGTGCAGACATGCGCTTCACTTCTCGCCTTCCATCTAGCCTCCAGAGCAAGCCTTGATGACTTGGAGTCTGAGATGAAACGCAACCCCAAGCAGAAACCACACCCTGCCTTGCGGCATTGGGAGGGTCTCGGGCGCAGGACATAGGAGCCCAACTTGTGAGAAGAATGAAGATACTACGGTTTTCTGCAGTCTTATGGAGTTCCGGGCTGGTGCAGCTGGCCTCCAAGTAAGCTGTAGTCTTGGAAGAGGGAACAACACTCCATTGGCCTCAAGATTTCCGAGGCATTCATCGCCCAGGGCTCCTACGGCCCCAGCTCCCCACAGCAAACACTTCACTCGTTCTGTGCATCCACACAAATTGGAAAGCACGCGCTTTCGGACTCGTCCAGAAAAGTCCCCACAGCCTAAAGTCCCCACAGGGTACTCAAGACCTCAAGTCATGTCGGAAGTGCTCGAGCGGAAACTGCACAGAGTAAGCACCAAAAAGGGGCAAACTCGTCACTCGATGCGAAACTATGAACAGATGGGATCACATGCAAGACGTAGGTCCGTTCATCGGCATAAAAGATCCCCTGGCAAAATTTCCAGCACAGCGAGCCCAGAGACTGTAAAATCCTTGAGTTGCTTGCCCAAAGCGTCGCACAGATTATGCTGAACACGTCAGGCCAAAAGGCCCGTGCGAAAGAGACGATACTGCATGCTCCTGCTAGCAAGAAGCTCCAAGTATGACAGGCTGCCATACAAAACCAAAAGCAAAGTTGTAAAGAGGAAAATTGCCAGGACAAGCACTCTACATGAAGCATGAAGTGGCCCACGCAAGGGAAGGCGAAGTACAAGCTTACTTGATCTCACAGCAGCAAGCCGCACAGCAGCCAAGCAGCTGGAGGTAGAAGAGGAAGAAAGCGGTTTCATTGGTCCCCCTGCCGTTGCAGGTGTTGACGCATCCGGTCAGCTGCCACACTTGAGGCCAAAATGGCCTCATACTCCCACTGAGCATCTTGCTCCAACCGGGCACTGGGCATGCCATAGATCTCTGGCAGATCCCAAACCTCTGGTCTCTGGAAGTCAAGGAAAACTGATTAAACAGCTCTTCGAGCCTCACCTATGCTTTAAACACACAAAATCACTGAAACTGCTCATCAGCATCTTCCACTTCGGGTTCCAGCTAAGGTTCCAGTGAAAGCTGCGGTTGTGGCTTGGCCTGTGGCACCAATGGAGCTTGAAATCCTTCACCCCCCTTGCCGCTGCACGTACCCGTGCGAGTGGCAACATATCAAGCTTCAACAGTGGCTGAGGTCTTGTCCACGCCGACGCCGCCGTGTCTGAGAGATTTATATGACAAAGAAGAGGAGCTGAAGCAGATCTGTACGGAGTTGAGGGAGCCAAAGAAAGTCCAGCCCTCAGACATACCATCACCCATACCTTCGAACTTTTGGAAGTCCCCACACCATTCAGAGTCTGCGTGTGCAATCTCTAAATCAGAAAGGTTAAGGAAAATACGACACATAGATCTGAGAGCGTGTTTCATACAACAACAACTGCAGGAACAAGCCATCGAGGTGTACGGAATACGCGGTGAGGCGAATCCGGCAGATCTATACACAAAGAACAATCCGTGGAGCTGCGCCTGAGATTCAGTTTACGCTCTCCTAAGTTTGTGAGTGGCATTCACCGTGATTATGTTCGACATCGGGTGTTGCCTTAGGAAGATTTGGAACCGACCGCCATTCTGGACGGGACAAGTTTTCGTTGCGGAGACTGGTAAGTGTTTTCATCTCTACGCCGAATGTCATGGTCTTCGAAACGCCAAGTGGCCGCTGCCACTGCTGCGCTGCGCTGCGTTGCCCGTACAGGGCTTTCTTTGACCGCAAGAACCCTTTGCCCTGTTTGGCTTGCGATGCCCTCTGGGAGGCCTACCATTGCCTCGGTGTCTGTGAGATCTGCATGCAAGAAAATGCTGTCGACGTCAAGTCCGAACCACGTTTTTGTTGCTTGCTTGCTGTAACAGAGGAAAACTCTTAGTGCCTTGCTGATGTCGGAGAAGATATTCCTAGCTGTAAGGCTGACGCCCCGTCTCTTGCTTTGCGGCACTGACCCATCTTGTGGATATCACCTTTGTCTTGCTACTGACGACAAAGTCATATCACCAACTAAGCAACTCAAGCGCACGTAGTTCACGCAACATCCCTTCGTACGTCAGACCAACGTCAAGCGCGCGTCTTACCTGTGGTGTTGTCTTGCGCTGCTGTCGGTCTGCTGACACACTGTTTTTCCTCCGAGCTGGACCTTCTCCTTCTCTAGCTCCTGACCAGGTCTCACTGACTTCTTGTAAGAGACATTTGCCAGATAATCTCTCATAGCTTCATGGGGAATTCGTTCCAGCTGCTCCTAGTCGACATCCATAAAGTCGAGTTCCGCCTCTGGCGCTCCTCCCTTCTGTGGGTACCTCTGGAATCAACTTATTTTCAGGACCAGAAGGGACAGCTCACAGTCCAAGTACTCCGCTTCGCTCGGCTCGTAGTCGCGGTCCTGCCCGACTGCTTTTGTTATCTCTTCACCCTTAACCATGGGCAAATCGAAAGCTTCAGCATCAAAAGCACGCTCACCCATGTCTTTCAATCCTTTGGCGTCTTCTGTTGTATCATCCGCCAACAACACGGGGTTTGGATCAAACGACTCTTCAATCCACTTTGCGTACCTTGCTCTGCATGCTGACGTGTGTGTGTCAACTTTGACGTGTCAACGCCACGCGCTTTGCACACTCTGCATCTTGGCGTTCTACCATGTTGCGCAATCCATTCTGGTGGTGGTTCCAACAACTGCAAATTAACAATCGGCAAATCAATCGCACCTGGTGCTTTCTTTGATGCCTGTATTGCTTGCTGCTGCTCGTGTCCTGGTATCCGTCGACAACAACCACGCAACATTCCAAGCTCGTATGTTACCGGCACCAACATGCGAATCTTGCTTGCTCTGCCAACTTTCAAACTTCCATCAAGCAACTTGTATTGCACAATGTGATTTCCGGATCCAACCTCCGGACACAAAGACTGCTCTTGCGAACCTACCTTGCACCTGTCCTGCAAGTGTTCCAATGGTTTTGCAAGTACTGATGCCCAAAAACAAAAACATATATGGCATGCGGTCTTGTGATGCGTTCTTGCGCGCTTGTTGTTCTGGTGTCAATGTCGAGCCATCATATGTCAAATACCTGTTGCGCGCTGCTGCTGCGTGTGTTATCAACATTGCAGTTCCACCTGCTGTCGGCTGCAATCCAACTTTCTCTCAATCACAACATATGACTTTGCAAGACTTCTTTAGCGTTCTGATTGCACGCTCTGCACAATGCACATGTCTTCCAATAGGGGTTACCTTGACCGATACTGCTCCATGACTTAGTCTCTTTGCAAAATCCCTTGCAACTCATGACTGCTGGTTCATCGTCACTGCGTCTGCTTACGTGCCACTCTTGCAAACCACCTTCTAGACCTGCTGCACCTGCCCATCTCTCCATCTCTTTGAT